CAATGTCTTAATATGGTAGATTTACATTTTGATGTTTCCCTTTGTAGGTGCACCTTATATTCTAGAAAGTGCCCTATTTTGATGGTGCCCCCCCCCCCCCCCATGTATTGATCTCGATAAAAAATAAATTTCTCATTAATTCTATTTCCAATATATCTAATACTTGCACTAATCTCCAATTAAAAAAAAAATCGTCTACTTTCTCTCAAGACAACATTATATAAAGGATTCATTAATGCAAGGCTATCACGCGAGTAATCTCTCAATTTCTAACTTCCTGCTTTCCTCATCTCCCAGTCTCCCTTGCTTTAATATTCCTCGTTACTTCCTTCCAATTGAACTCCAACTTAATTGATGTTATACACTGTATCTATTCTTCAACTACAGGTAGATGCAAATGTTACTCAAAATCCATTATATAAATCACACTCAGGATACAGCCAATCGACGAGAATTGCTTCAATCTATATTTTACATGTATCATTAATATATGGTTTTACAATGGCTATGGTGATGAGTTGTCTAGGTAACATGTTGATGTGTTTGTTAAAATGTATTACCATGGTGCACCTTCTTGGTTACAAACAAATTATGTGTATGTATTAACGTAAGTTCGTGCCTTTACATATCACAGTAGAAATCAATGTTTTATATTTGATGCAGAATAATATTAATATTTGGAGATTAGAAACACAAACAGTTTCCATAACCGTTCAAGTGTTTCAAGAAAAAGTTAAGAAAACTTTCTCCTGGATGTTCATTGGAATTAATCGAGAAATTCCCCTCGCTAGCGTGTAAATAAAAATACGCCGGCCGGCCATACGTAAATGGCAGTGACGGTAACGACGAATTAGGAGGAAGTAGGGGTGCATACGTGAACTACAAGCGTATTGGGGATGATCATACTATCATTTTAGAGTGTGCAATCTGGGTCGGAATCCAGCATAATATATTTATAAAAAAAAGAGGTTCACATAAAAGCACTCATGATAAAGCCGCGCCCGGCCCCTACAACATCATTTTGGATTTTCAGATGATGGGCGGGTGGCAGGGGTAGGGGGGCAAATTTCGCCCCACTCTTCAAGTACCCCCCTCCCCAAAGGGCCACTTTTACTTTGTAAAGAAGTGCCCCTTCCCCTTTTTAACTCGGATAAGCGCACATTTCATCAACACATGTGCCCCCTTTCCTATCTGATAAGGGCTATTTAGAAAAATGAGGCCCTTCATAAATAAAAAGTGTCCCTTTTCATCTCTGGTAAATGACCATTTTCATATATGAGAAGTTAATTCTTTTCACTTCAGTGCGCTCTTCACCTCCGATAATTGCCCCTATTCAAATCTGAGAGATGCTCGTTTTACTTTGAAAAGTACCCCTTCCCCTCCTGATAGGTACTCTTTTCATCTATGATGAGTGCCCATTTTCACCTTTGCTAACTGCCCTTTTATTTTGAATCGTGCCCCTTTTCCTTTCTATTAAGGGACCTATCCCCTTTTCATAAATGCCCCTTTTCACCTCTGATAAATCAATTTCTGATGGATGCCCCTTTTCCGTCGACAAATGCCCATTTCCCATACTCATAAGTGCCCAATCTCATTTCTGGTGAGTGCCTCCTTTCAGGTGTAAGAAGTGCCCAGTTTAAACCTTGATAATTACTCTTTGTACCTTGACACATGCTCCTTTTCTTTTCTAATAAGTGTCTTTATCCCTTTCGATATGTGTCCCCTTAACCCCTCATCATCAGGCACGTAGGCACAGGGGGGGGGGGCACGTGCCCCCTAACCTGCTCATCATTAGTCTTGCACTAATTTAAAGCGACTAAGAGTAATTTCCCCTAAAGCTTGCTCGCTCGCTCGCATTTATAGATGATACAATTATATGTCACTTTAAAACAAATGTTTTTTCAGTCTTCCGTGATGCTTATAACCCCATCATGATTTGGTTTTTTCCTTTTTATAAGATGTAATTTTTCACTCTGCGACCTCACAGATCTTACATTTTTTCTCGCTCGCAAATGAATATTCAGACAATCACACTCAGCCGAAAGTGTGATGCTTAAGCAATAACTTGTATGATATATAAAGAAAAACAAATATTGAAATCGTCCCTGATAATGGGATCACAATGAAAGGGTATATACCAATGTCTAAAAAAATGTATATTTTCGCCTTGAGATTTCGCTTTGTAGGTGCCCTTTTTTGTTGGTGCTTTCCACTTTGGAAATAGCTCCGCCGCCCTGCTTACGCATTAGCGCCAGCGTTAATTTCACGCTTGCGCGCACAGGGGGTGTCTCTGTGCGTGTGTGTGTGTGTGGGGGGGGGTTCCTCTCTAGCTCTGAAGCTGATTTTTTTTTTTTTTACCTAGATTCGTGCGATTCGGTTAATACTTTTAGAGGGAGTCTGAGGGGTGATGTGCCCCCCTCTGAAGCTGACATTTTTTTGGATTTTTGAAACTTTTTTGTCCCCTTTCCAAAATAATTGTGCCCGTTTGTAGGTACCAGTACACTATTAAAGTACAGTGCTTCTAATATGACCTTGTCAGTATTGGTAAGTTTAAATAATGGTCTGCGCGAATTTCGAATTTCCGGCCCCCCCTATTGGAAAATCCTGGATCCGCGCCTGCAATGCATAATGTAATGTCTGACCTTCACGATCCTTTCCATAGAAATGTGAGGCACTTAGTAAATGATAATCTTGTTTTCAATCCCCCATCCCCTCTTTTTTTCCTCCCTTGTTTCAAGTTCATTCAGTGCAGACCCGGAATGTGTTTTCCATCATTTCCTGTCATGTTGCAAAACAGAAATCTCAAAAACGTGAGGGGGGGGGGAATGGTGTCAGTTGCATTTTCCTTGTTTGGGACTGCAAAACAAAAAAAATGTATTATTCAGGGCGGTGTCTCACAAGTCCTTGAAACGTTTCAAATTTAAAGGGACTTTGTAACATTGTTCAGATGAAAGAAAATGGTGCTAAAGTATTGACTTCAATGCTAGATGTACAATCAAAGATATATGAAAGTGTGATTAAAACAGACCATTATAAACGATAACAATTGGGAAAATCTGATCTGATCGATTCCTGAATTCTCCCAACTATATCATTATAATTTAATTTTAGGTGAATGTAAATTGTCACAAAGCAATGAATTGGCTATACCATTCCAAAACAATCAGTGTTGAAAGATTTTAGAAATTCTGTTTTATATCTCATTTTCATGAAAAAAAGGTTGGAAAAAAATCTTTTGTGGGTCGAGAATTGTTTGCATGTTAGAGGGTTAGTACATTAGAAGGATTATAATAAGTAACAATTTATACAAAAATTACGCAAATTTTCATCAACCTTCAACAATGTTACGGGTTCACTTTAAATATTTTCACGGGAAGTCCATGAATATACACTTTCAACCAACGAAGTGGCAAACATACATGCAAGGTACTCAGGGGCGTACGCAGGGGGGGGGGGGGGTTTGGGGGTTCAAACCCCCCCCCCCCCCCCCTTTGCTATTTTTATGTGTGTAAACCCCCCTAAAAAAAACTAAAACCTCCCCCTTTGTTTTTGTTTTTTGTTTTTGCTTTTAAATTTAAAAAAAAAAAAAAAAAATTATGCCCACGGCTAACGTAAAGTGACCTTACCCCCCCCCCCCCCCAACGAAAAAAAATGTTAAATTTTCAAATTTCGAGACCAAAAAAAAAGAAAAAAAGTGTCCGCTTACCCCCCTTCTTCTTCTTTGGTAATAACATACATGAAAAGAGTTGTAAAGGGTACATGAGCATTTGTCTACATCAATAACCCACTTCTTGTGATTGCCAAGATTAAACTGATTGAATCTTTGCGCAGCATAAAACGTATGACCATTCGGTACTATTGTCTGAAAATCAAGACTATTACTTTTGGGCTCTATAGCCCTAAAGTCGATTTGACAACTAATAGTCATTATTTTCCCACTTGAAGACATTTTCAAGCCCCAACTTTTTTAGGGAAGTTCTAAATTAGTATTATCTTTCAAATGCAGTTGGAATTTAACTTTTTCATTTTTTTGGCCTGCAAATGGGACATAGTACCTTTAAAGGTAATACAAAGTTTTGGGAAATTTTGAAAATTGGCAGAATAAGTGATTCTTTACAATTGTGTTATATTTGGATGCCCCTGTGGATGTATTATAAGCACTAGAAGATTTAGCCACTAAAACATTTCTGCTTTCGAGATAAATTGAATATAAAAATGTACCGGTGCTCCCAGTAAATTATGATAAATTTCAAATTATAATGGTAGCTGCAACCATGAAAATCTCAGAATATGTAGTTGTGATAGATAATTTTCAAACAGGAATAGCCAATTGGTCGATTTTAGTCAAGAAACATTGTTTTGTAGCTTAATTAATATATTGAACTTGAGAGGGAGCTATACAACATGAACAGTTTATTATTACAATTTCATCACTTTAGACTTGATTTCAACCGCGCCAACGATCACTGAATATTGTAGGGTTGCATATGCTTCCAATATTCATGACCCCATACCCACACTTTGTATTACCTTTAAATGATGTCTCAAAGAGTTCAAGAGGTATTTCATGTATGGCATGCATCTCTTACACCTCCACATCACTCTCCATCCCTCTCTCTTCATCTCTCTCATCTTGACCCTTTTTCCTCTCAAACCACCTTCCATTTCCTCTCATTCAGCCTCATCATGCTGTTGTCTCTCAGTCTCTTCACTTCTACTTCAGTTATTTCTTTGTTACAGTTGAACCTTGAGAACGAGGAAAACTGCCTTGCAATCCACTAAACAATTTTTGTTAAATGTTACCTATTAGTAAAACAAACATTGATTTGATTTCAGTGACAACAAATATTTAACACAACATCATGACCCAAGGCTTCACCATAGTTATTTAAACCATAACCATAACTATTTCACTTTCAATCAGGCAAATCGTAGCACGTTTCCCACACTGAATCAACTACAAACACATTCCCACACTGAAAGACAACGCAACGCATACATTTTTGCCAGTGTATCTTCTGTTTATTGAAAACTGCAGGTCTCAATAAGGCAATCTTGTTATGTACACTTCTTGGCACATCTCCAGTGTGAACGTCGAATAATGTGATCGAATCTCACTCGACAACAGGATTTCACGAGGGCTAAGTATATTTGGTGTGAGTTCAATTGTGTTTGGAGTTAATGGTGTAAGTAACCAGTGATGATGAGGAGGGGGAGGGGGTTTACTTCTTGCCCTTGGGCTTGTTCTGGGCTTCCTCGGCCTCCTTCTCCGCCTTTCGCTTTACCCTGAGTCCAAAGAGCTTCTTGTTGGAGCGGGCCATACGCAGAGCCTGGTACACGCTGTGCTTCTTCTCTTCGTCGCTGATGGCACGGGCCTTCTCGCGCTTGGTGACAACCTTGATTGGCATGACGGGTCCCTCCAGTTGAGTGGCCATCTTAAGCTCGGCCTCCTGTTTATGATTTTTAAAATAAAGAAAAAGTCATGATTAATGTCTCATTTCAGATGAAAGGTTGAAGTCTATTGCTCTATTTATATATCTTTTTTAAATCGGTTTTCAATCCTACCATTGGCACATGGAAAACAAAAGCAAACCTGCGAGAAAAAATTGGTGCATCAAACTGTCTAAAGTGAGACCTTTTTCTTTTGATACCCTTTAATTATTTATGTGTACCAATCACCTAATACAAGGGTACAGATAGAATCTATAATATCAACTTACAAAAGAAAAAGAAAAAAAAACTTTTATCTGGCACTCTAATTGCTTACGGATAAGGAACATGAGGAAAATAAAGAATAACGCAAAAGAGTGCACATGGAACCCAGGTTGGGATTGGGTTCTCTGCAGGCTGTTGGGTGGGTGCTTCGAGTAGTCTACTCACAAGTCCCTGTTATCTTAATGGAGTGTTTTGAAACTTGCAAATCTCTTTACAGAAGCAATATTTGTGGCTCATATTTTGAATATGGGTCATTCCATGGGGTTGGGTCAATTTTTGTGACATACCAGAAGTGAGAAACTAATCCCCTTCTCTCCTGTCAACTGTAAAAATGTTTGCTAAAATTGAGTTTAGCATAAGACTAGATGGAATTCGACTGCGCGCAGTCGAAAATGATGCCTCCGTCATAGAGCAAATTTACAAACCGAAACGGAAGAAATTTTTCAAATTCAAGTTCAATTGTAATCCATTAACATGTTCTCAGAATATCGTGATTACAAGCAATTTCTCATATACATATATGACCCTTTGATCTTTGACCTCATGACCCTAAAATCTACTCAGTTCATTGACTCTGCAAGATTTCCTGAGTTAAATAGTAATCCATCTGTCAGTTCTAATGAGAATGCGTCCACAAGCTATTTTTGCATACATAATGAGCCCATGACCTTTGATCTTATGAACCATTCATTGGCTCTGCAAGATACATAAATGATCTAAGTTTGGCAGGAATCCATCAATCTGTTCTAATGATAATACGATCACAAGCTATTTTTGCATACATAATGAGCCGCATGACCTTGACCTTTAGCTCATGACCCCAAAATCTAATCAGTTCATCAGCTCTGCAAGTAACATACATGACCTAAGTTTGGCAGGAATCCATCAATCGGTTCTTGAGATAAGGCGATCACGAGCTGTTTTTGCATACACAATGTGCGCTGTGACCTTTGACCTCGTGACCCCAAAATCTAATCAGTTCATTGGCTTTGCAAGATACATACATGACCAAAGTTTGGCAGGAATCCATCAATCGGTTCTTCAGATAACGCGATCACAAGCTGTTTTTGCATACATAATGAGCCCTGTGACCTTTGACCTTTGACCTCGTGACCCCAAAATCTAATCAGTTCATCAGCTCTGCAAGATACATACATGACCAAAGTTTGGCAGGAATCCATCAATCGGTTGTTCAGATAACGCGATCACAAGCTGTTTTTGCATACATAATGAGCCCTGTGACCTTTGACCTTTGACCTCGTGACCCAAAATGTAATCAGATTGTTTTCCTATAGTGATACACACTATCACTAAGTTTGAAGTTTAAATCTCCAGTGGTTCTTGAGATATCATGATAACAATCTCAATGTATGGAATTTCATAAGTTGACCTCTGTGACCCTTGACCTTTGACATACGTGCTCCAAAATCTAATCAGATCGTCTTCCTATGGTGATACATACTATCCTTAAGTTTGAAGTTTAAATCTCAAATGGTTCTTGAGATATCGCGCTAACAAATTCAATACAAGGAATTTCATAAGTTGACCTCTGTGACCTGTGACCTTTGACCTACGTACTCCAAAATCTAATCAGATCGTCTTCCTATGGTGATAAATACTATTCCTGAGTCTTAAGTTTAAATCTTAAATGGTTCTTGAGATATTGTGATAACGGTCAAACGGGACGTACGGACGGACGGACGTACGGACGGACGGACGTACGGACGTACGGACGGACAACCCGAAAACATGATGCCTCCGGCACCACCTTCGGTGGCGGAGGCATAAAAAGCATAGCCAACTATGATTACAAGTACTCAAGCTTCATGGTGAATCAATATTATAGACCCAAAGGTTATGTAATGTTCAAGGTTTTACTGTACAACCAAATTTGACTGATTTGACTGTAATTATAAGTTCATTACTGAACAATTTGAAATTGGCTATCGATAGATAGAGGGATCTCATCTTTACAACATTCATAACTTTCTTATTACATATCCGATTCCTTTCAAACTTGTCCAATCCTAATACTCTTTACTTTTTTGCTTTCATAGATCATACAAATTAACTTTAACAAATGTTGGAATGCCCTTTACTTGCAACCTTTTAAATATACATTGACAGGACCGAACCATAGAAAGGATGCAAGATATTTGTCCTGTAAGAGAGATTTTCAAACTGTCCCTAGATCTACACATCAGATGGACGAGTGTCCGTCAGTGTTACCCAACCTCTGTTTGACAGTATTCTTCTGATGTGCTTGTAATTCTAGCTTCTAGATAATAACTGATAATGTAAACTTACAACTACAACTATCAGTCAACTACCCAATCATTCGACAGCAACACTCACATACATTCCAAATCTGTTTACCCACATGTTGTGTTCCTGGACAGGTTGGGTATCCAGACAGTTAATTTCAAACAGTAATTTGAAGAAGTTTACAAATTACAACCAATATTTCCTGAAGTCTTTCAAGACTTATGTTAGACAATCTTATAAAAGCATGAAGAATGGTTGGTGTTGGTTGGTGTTATTTGATGCATGATTTTATTTATTTTTTATCCAAAGGGAAAAAGGAACTTTATTTTTGTAAAGCAGCTGAACACCCCACCACCCCCCCCCCCTCCCACATCATACTTACATCACTGTCTCCCTTCTTGGGTTTGCTCAGCTTCTTGGGGAAGAGGATGAGCTTGGATCTGTACTCCTTGAGGCGCTGGACGTTGGCCTGGAGCCCTTCGACTGACCTGTTCTTCCTCCTGTGGTCAACAGAGATGCCGATGGTTGGGGCATACTTTTTGTGGATACCAGCAGCCTGTTGAAAGATAATTGCAGAGGGTCCAATTAAGCAATCTAAAAAATGATGGGTCATTCTCTGATAAGGGCAACGAATATCATAACGCAACACATATGAACAAGCTAACTGATAAATAATGCTTCTATTCATAGTTTCCTAACTTTATGGAAGAAAATAAATGAGGAAAAGAAGGTAAGAATCAATTACTCCCGTTATTGATCAAACTAAATTTGGCTGTGATGAATGAAACCGAAAGGCGCGAGACAATTCTAATCCTACATTTCTAAACAGTATGAAGAAAGACTGAGGAATCCAAGATGAGAATCAACGATTCCCCTGATTTCAACCAGACACAAGTGGTCATGATAATTTGTGCTATTCACATTTACAATGGAAGCTTGTCGTGATAAGGTGAAAATTAAGTAAGGCTATGCACAACCGTGTAATGAGGTACCCGAGTACACTCCCAGGCTTACAAGCGAATACTCGAATATTCGGACGCCATGTTTTGGGGGTGTATTGGGGGTGTTTTGGGGGTGTTTTTTTTGCCCCAACCATACTAAGGGGACCAGTAATCCAAGTCCGTCTCCGAAAACTCACGCAATTTTACTTCGAGTTGCAGTTGAAGGCACCGATTTAATAATAATAACACATACATGCCAACATTTGAAAATCAGAAATCTGTACAAATTATGCTATTTAAAAAAAAAAAGAGGAACAATCCTAACTCTCCTTTTCAATACTACAGACAAATTTGTACAGGAAGAGGAACACCTGCATTAAAATGATAATTATCTTCTCCCAAAAAGAGGAATGTTCCTCTTTAATCTGAACAGTTGGCATGTATGATAACAGTAAACAATGCTGTTTTAAAAACCAAAGATGGCAGAATAATCCATTTTCCTCCGAGTCTAAACAGAAATCTGGACATTTGGTCCAAGTTTGAGTTTGACAGTGATTGAGCTTGGAAACATTTTTACTGACGGTACCATGCCAGCGGTCGAATATTCGAGTACAAGAAATCGTACTCGAGTAGTTGTCAACAGTGCGGGTACTCGAGCATTCGACTACTCGTCGCAGCCCTAAAATTATGTGTTACACATGATCTGTAAACTATCTGTCTCGATGAAGAATGAATCTAAAAATAAATTTACCTTGAGCTCCTCAAGCGTGAAGCCACGTCCCTCCCTCAACTTGGTGTGGTACTTGAATGTCTGACAAGTAACCTGGGGTCGAAGAGGTCCTGCGATGGGTCTAGGGGCGATCTTGCGGGCCTTCTGGACACGGTTGTTGTGTCGTCTCTTCTTGCGGGCTGGTTGGTCAAACCACGTCCTGACATAGTTTTGCCATTCCTTGCGGAAATGGACGTTTGGTAGCACTCCGTTTCCCTTGGGACTCATGGTGAAATCTGCAAGGTAAATGAATAATAAACAGATTGTAACATTTGAGGAACTTGTTACATGCTATTTATTTGTTAATAATTACCATATCTGCTTTTTTAAATAAGGTTTTTTTAAATAAGATTCACACACAAAACCAATGCCATGGCCTCCTGATCATAGAGATGCAACAAACTGTTGTTTACATTTCTTTAGGCCTTTTGGGAGACAGTCTCGCAAGAACATTTTCTTGTTATTTTTGGAGTATTTTTCGGAAAAATGTTGATAATAGTATACACTTTTTCACAGGTTTCATGGCAAACCGCTGCACAATACAAGTAGATCTACATACCGATGGTGGGTTGCGGGCGGGCGCGCGCCTGTGTGAAGTTATCTACCGTAATGTCTCAGATCCTCATGACAGTAGATAACTTCACACAGGCGCGCGCCCGCTCGCAACCCACCATTGGTATGTACTTGTGTTGTGCAGCGGTTTTACCGTGAACCCTGTGAAAAAGTGTATACTAATATCAATGTTTTTCCGAAAAATGCTCCAAAAGAACAAGAAAATTGACACAAAACGGGTAATGAACATAACAACTTTTAACTCATGATCTTTATTAGGTCAAGGACATTTAATGAATGTTTACCTTCATTTTGAGTATGTTTTAGTAGGGTATCCCCACGCCGAAGTTATGGGTCAAATTTTGGATAGGTTTCTGAACAAGTACCCCCCCCCCTTCCAAAAAAAAAAAAAACACCCACAAGGGCAGGCCACAGACACTGCCAAATGCAGTTTATTCAGTCACAGAGATTTCATAGAGTGGGGGCTTTTGTACAATTATTTATGATGATCCCCAATTAATGCTCTAAAACATAATGTTTAGGCTATGTTAACACGAGATGGGGAGTCATTAAAAACAGTCAACACAAGTGTGCACATGCCCGTGGCTGAACACCATCACAAGTTTCAATTATGATTCATGTCGTCACTTGTCAGTCTGTCTCGGACAAGAGGTTCCATGATTCATAAATGGCCTGGGCAAGCTAGACTTTTGTAGTTATGGACTTGGTTATGAATCTCGGAAAAACTACATTTGAGAGGCGTGGGTAACGTGTCAATCGACTGCTTATTCTCACTGCAGGGGATGGGATCGGACAGTAAACTCGTACACATAAGTCAATGTATACGCTCAATCACCAACGCGATCGAGCAGTGGTGATACATGCCTATGTTTCGTTAGATTTAGTCCTTTTCAAATAGTCATATTTCACACTAAAATATGATTGTATGTTGATAATAATCACTGTATTCATTTAATGTAAGATCTTAGTTAAACTCATTAGATTGATTTAGATTTATAACGATATTCATAGAATGTTTTTCTCAACTAACCCTGCAATACAGCAGTGCTCACAGAAAAGGAATCGGAGTTAGGCCTACTTGATCCACAATTAAGATAATTGTTGTCATTCTCATTTTTCCTTTATAAAACAAAATTTGATATTCTTATCATAATTTAATATATTAAATAAGTACTAATACAATTTATTCAAGAATTATTAATATTGAATTTTATTTTAATTTGAGTTATAAATGAATTGATCATTGTTTCTAAAATTCAAATTGGCACTATATTAAAAATGGCAGCCTCCATGAACATAACTTAAAATCGTGTCGAGAAGAAATACAAGAGCTTATTTGTTGATAGATTTCACCCAACGCAATACAGTATGTATAGTGTATACTATGAAATGTTAAGAATAACAAAACATGAAGAGGTCCCAGTTCCACTTTTGTACATTTGGAAATAATCACTCCTACAGCGATGGAGGTGCTATATAAATGGCCTTTGTTTCCCCTTTTCAGAGAATACTTCCACCTGTGTATCATGGAGTGCACTGAATGTGAATGAATGAATAATGATTAGACCTACATAACTTTCATGAGCATGATGTACGTATCCAGTATTTGGTCTCTGTGTATTTCAAAATTTATTCTGCAATGACCTTTATCTGCTCATGCTCAGCTCAGACTGCAACCGTGAACTGGCTTATAGGGTTGAAGAGGTTATCAATTTAAAACATATTAGGCCTGGCGTAGGAATAGGATAATATAATTGGCAGTGTGCATGCATATGTGTGGGGATCCAGGGCTGCGTCTCACGAAACCATCATAGATCTAAGTACAAGTTCAACGACATCCTATTGAAATACGTGTATTAAGTTTTACACGCATTTCAATGGGATGTCGCTGAACTTGTAGTTAGTTATTACAGTTTCGTGAGACGCAGCCCAGGCTGCCAATATTCCAGGTTGTGTTATTTTTTTAATTAAAAATTCTTTAGACGTCTTTCTGCTTGACGTTGGACTTGGAGGAATTTTTTCTCTTTTGACTTTGGTAATGTTTGACTTTGAGCTTTGGTGCTCTCCTATTAAAGCCTAAGGATTAGTTATAATTGGACCTCATTACAGGAGTGCAGATCAGCTCCTCCACTCCAGCTCCAATTCTGATTTCTGTGAAACTAAGTACCAGTAAGACTCGTAGTAGTAAAAGTAGTAGTCTCAGCAGAGCATATCCCTGAACAGAATGAATAAACTTTTTTCTTTCTAGTTCGCTATGTTTATTTTGCACTAGAGCAGCAGTGAATTTGTGACACATTTCTGCATATGTTTGTTCACATGAAAAATTGCAAACATTAAGTATAAGTTATCCAGTTTAATGTTTAGCAATTTCCTATTTGCTAGATAGTATGCATGTATTTTGTTTAAGGGCAAATTAAATTGTTTAGCTCTGCTGCATATGTATTGAGATTGTATTTGCAGTGCGAACAATTTCTTTTTACAAGAGCCACTAAAAGCAGCTTATCTGAATCCCGTCAAAGCCACTTGGGTCAACGTGGGAGTTGGAATCAAATCTACTTTGATAGATCCACCCTCCTGTCTCCTGTGCAAGCAACAGGCTGGTACTGTAGATTTATTGGATTAGAATCCTGTACCAGCCCACAATAGATCCAAAATGGCATTTTTTATTGTAAGTAATTAACAAAAAAATAGTGAAGATATTAGTCAATAATGGCACAAAGGATGTTAACTGTAACTTCATATCATCATAGGAAGGTCAAACTTCCTATAATATCTTGTTATAATTTGTTTCACATCTGATCTGAATCTTTTGGAACAGCAGGAACATCTACATTGCAACATAGACCTACATGTACATGATGTCACCCTGGTTGAATTTCAATTTACGACATTTGGTCCAATCAACCCAGAGATCGCGATGGCACAAGAAAGTACTGAGGTGCCTCTATTCCAAAACAGGGGTTTGGGTAAGAAGATATACTCTTTTGATTACTAAATATGTTCATAGTGACATGCATATAGACTGAAAGAGGGATTTAAAAGTCAGAGGTTTGAGGGAATTGTTATGGGGGAGAGGGAGAAACTTTGCTGAAATAAGGACAATGTTTATTCAGGACTATTTAACATTTTGCACTGTAAAATGATGATGATTTTAATGAAACTGGTACACAAATATGTGTCTCAGTTTTAACCCATTTGACACAATTCTTTGTCATTTACAATTTATTTCACATATAGTTTCATTCCTGCTGAATAATCAAAGGATTGATTCTGTCCCAGCAAGACATTTTACTCCATCGATGTTATAATGAAATACATGTGTAATAATAAAAATAACATTTATTTAATATTTAATACTAATGTTTCTCTGTACGGCCTGTACCTAGAGACTTCTACTGGAAAGTATCTGTAAAACTTACCTGTAAATATCTGATAAAGTTTCTAGAATTCCTTAAGTATGTTGACAGAACATTGGAACATGACATGAATATTGACAGATGGAATATAAGGAAGATATCACATCTATACTGTTGAGGTCCAACATTTTTCTTGATTTAAAGGAAATATGTCCCATTTGTAGGCCAAACAAATTTAAAAGTTAAATTCCAATAGCATTTGAAATATAATACTAATTCAGAACTTACCTCAACACAGAAGGGATTGAAAATGTCTTTTTGTGGGAAAATAAACAAGACCGTTAGTTATCGACTCGAATTTAGCTAGGGCGCTCGTTTGATTAAATAGTCTGATTTTCAGATCCTCGTACCGAACGGTTGTAAGTTTTGTGCTGCGCAAAGATTCAAACAGCTTAATTTTAGCCATTACAAGAAGTGGGTTATTGATGTGGACAAATACTCATGTGCCCTTTACAGCCCATTTTATTTACCGGTATGTTATTAGTTTATTACCAAAGACAAAAAAATGTCAATTAGTCACTCAATAGTGTCTGACAGTGAAGTCTAGGAAGTAAGCAGGTTTCTTAACTTTCCTTGCATTATTTGAATAATAGGACAAGTTGCTAACATTTAAACTTTAAATTTCACACATAGGACATACCTGACATATTCAAAATTCCTGCAAAGTTCTACAGAATATGATGTTGGCTGCAAAAGGGATACACTACCTTTAAAGAAGCACATGGTGCAATTGTTTGGTTTGTTTGGTATAAGATTATTTCTCTCTTTGTGAAATGTGAATCATATATGAAGGTAGACAATGAAATCTGACTTCCACCTTTTTACGACGAATGCTGAGAAACAGTGATTTGTTTATCCTTTTTTTCCCCCACAAAATTTGATATAAAAGGATGGTGACTTTACGATTGAAACAAGAAAGGAGCTGGAGAACTACTGGAGGGACCATCTTGCTCTACAAAACCAGCAATCCTCATTGAGTAAACAGGTGAGATCAGAATACATTTTGAAAATGATAGTAAGAAACTTGAAGAATAGTATTTTACCAATAAATTCATACTTGTGCAGACTGCCGAGTTGGTATAAAAAACAAAGTCAGTTATTTTTTTAACATCACAGATTCTCTAAGTCACTTACTTAAAATTCAAAAATTATGATCACGCCTCCAATCTCTCTCTCTCTCTCTCTCTTTCTCTCCCTCTCTCTCTCACCTGAATCTTACACCTTGACTGAGTTAGCTCATGAGTTATTTCCAATCCACTATGCCCTCCCCTCTCTCTCCATCTAGTCTGCACACACAAACCCTTGTCAGTCGCTGTGCTTAACAGTGTCTGCTTGGTGAGACTAGGCCGACTGCATACTGGATAAGCTCTGTACTGTAGCAGACACAGCCAGAGACTGGCAGAGCTGCAGTAAAGTGTCACATTAGAGTCTGTGCCTGCAGACTACTCTCCATCCCCTTCTTTCACTCCGTATTACTCTTCTTTTTCTCGATACATGAACTCTCCCAGCTTTTTTCAACTTGCCAGTCAGTTAATGATGTACACTCTCAAGATTTTAATATTCACCATGTTGTCTTGTTGGTTCTTTGTTATAGGATGACCGGGACAAGTTCTACGTCTTGTCCATGTTCCCGTACCCATCGGGAAAGCTTCACATGGGGCATGTTAGAGTGTACACCATCAGTGATACCATAGCGCACTTCCACAGACTCAATGGAAAACAGGTAATACAGATCGGAAGATTAGAATCTTTAGGGAAAACCCAGCATGAATATCAAAACTAATCACTTTTGCTTTATGTTAACTTTTCCCTCTGTATAGTTTTGTTTGTGGTGTTTTCAAAATATAACTACCTACCATCTATCGGGTGCCAGAAGGGTATTTATAAGAATATGGCTCTGAGGAGTCTGTAGAATGCTTTTAGTCATTTTAGTGACATTTTATTGTTTAAAACGTAAAATGGAATGAAAGTGAAGAGAATGATAGCCACCTTTCTTGAAAGTTCTCTGAGAAACTTTCTTTAATTTGCCTACAAGTTTTTTTAAATCTCTACCTGATGTAAACATTAAATGATCAAACCCTATATATTTCATTTAAAGCCCGTCTGTACTAGTTTGGCTAGGAGGGATTAGACCACCCAGGGTGGTCACTGACATGTGGCTATCTCATCATCTCAGCTCTCAATTAACATAAGAAAAAGAGGATCATAAGGGACCAACAGGCACCGCTGAGGCATTGTTTTCTATATAGAGGGAGCAAGTAGCTACAAGTAGTGCAGTGGGGCTTTAAATGATCAAATTTATATATTCCCCCCCCCCCTCTCTCTCTCTCTTTTCTCTCTCCATCTCTCATCAAGGTCTTACATCCTATGGGGTGGGACTCGTTTGGTCTTCCTGCAGAGAATGCGGCAATTGATAGAGGGCTCCAGCCTGCTGACTGGACACACAGGTAAAGATAAATACTACAGAAATAGAGATCATGGATTGGATTACACATTTTTGAAATATTTTAAATATTATTTTGCTCTAATTCATGCCTTAGTGCATGAGAAATGAACTAATGTCCTATGATATTATTAGATATATCAGAAAATTGGACCCAGTGTTTAAAAGACAATAACAGATATTCCAAAGAGCATTGGTAATCAATTTTCTAATTTATCTATACTGCATATGAATGTTAGATTATATCCTTGTTTATGTACATGTTTCTAAAATATGCTCCAAAAGTCCAAATTTTCACTAATGAAAAATTTCAAGCCAGAAATGTATTACAGTATATGTTTTCAACATTTTGAAAAAATATGAAGATATTAGACACTGATAAGAAATATCATGACCTTTTCATTTCAATTTGCTGCTATTCAAAGAGCTAAGGAATATTCTATTTACCATTAATACTGTTTTTTCTTTATTAGTAACATCGACTACATGCGGAGGCAACTCAAACAGCTGAGCTTTTGCTTTAACTGGGAAAGAGTAAGTAGTAGTACTGGCATTCAATAATTTAAAAGATTATGTAACATACAATGGAATTATCAATAAGTGTATGAAGATGAACTTTCTGTAAAAGGTTTACAGAAAGGAATGCTCCTGATTTATTTCATTCGTAAGATCATAGAGTTCTGATACATTCAAGACCACTCTTTATGATGCCATGGATAAAAGTTGATGTCTTTAAAGACTAAAAATTCTGTTGTTGTACAGTTTATTTATACAGTTAATAAGGGATATTTTTTTTTACCCAATTTTTTTTACCCTCCAACAGGCCATTTTATTGAAAATAAATCTTTGATTAACATATTTGAATACATGCACAAATGAATATCATATAATACTTCAAAATAAGATATACATAATGAATATCAACCATAATAAGCGATGACTGAAAGCATAGCATATTGATAATACTAATATGATAATAATAATACTATACATACAGAACATGAAAATACAAAATATTTAAAACATTATTTATTTTTATTGATGTGTGCAAATGTTCAGCTGACGAATCCATTTTGTTCTATTTAAATATGTGGAAATAACTCTTTAATACTAGACTGAAGCATCATGAGAAATCAGGTATTGGTCAAAATCTTTATTAATGTCCTTCTTGATTAAATGGCTTGATTAAAGCTTTATTGTGCTTTTCTGAAACTGATGTGATTTATTCAGGAGGTCACAACTTGTTTACCAGACTACTACCGCTGGACTCAGTCCATCTTCGTAAGGTTGCTTGAAGCTGGTCTAGCCTACCAGAAAGAAGCCGTCGTCAACTGGGATCCTGTGGACCAAACAGTGCTGGCAAAAGAACAGGTAGAAATTAATAATTTAAGTTAGGAAGTTATGCTCATTTACAGAATCATTATGCAAGAAGCAAATATATGCCAAAGGAATCTTAAAGATTTGAGTTTCGCACGGACTTAGTGATCTTATATTTCAAACATTCATAACTTCTTTACTATTGGTCCAATTCATTTCAAACTTTTGCCATTCTGTTTTTGTTATTTTTCTGCTTTCAAACAAATCAACTTATTACAAGGGTTGGATTGCCCTTTAATAATTTTATGACATAATGGTCGCGACGGGGGAACTATTTCAAAACAAGAGTTGTTGCTAGACATTATGATGTAGGTTTAGCTTGGAGGTTATAATATTTAAATTGCTCCTACTTTAGAGCTGAGATAGAACCGAGAACCAGTTTATTGAAATAATATATGAGTTGATATTGAGGTTATATTCAAAGATTTCTAACAAAGTATATTTATTTAGTTTGGTAAACAGTTCTGTATTTCAAGGCAACAACTCAATGCAGATGAGGTGAATATCCAGTCTAGTGCAATGCCATATCTAGTTTGTGAAATCATGTTGAGATTAAGTGCCAACATAGATGAGATGCTTGTATTTTAACTTTTTAATCTGTTTCAACGTGCAGGTGGATGAGAATGGTTGTTCATGGCGGTCTGGGGCTAAGGTTGAACAACGACTGCTGAAGCAGTGGTTCCTCAAAATGACACATTATTCCAAGGTAAGGATAAACAAATTATCTTTGAATAGACCGGTTTACTAAAATACTATACGTATATTTTGTAAACTTGACGACCTGCCAGCTTTCCCAGTGCTTGCCTGACATAGCAAAAACTAATGTATGCATACTAGATTCCAAGTCCAGGAGTTTGAAAAGGGTATCTGGTAGAGAGTTATTGCTTGAATGATTTCAGTGCCTCCAGGCACCTGGGCTAAAGCTAATGTAATTTCAGTACTTTGTAGACATATTAAACAGTAAGGATCCCTTTGGATGAATATATGCACAAATATAAATGTAGCTCTTAAAGCGACTGCATCACTTAAAGAACTAAATGTGATCATGTATGTGCATGGTGAAGAAAAAAAATTTGCCCTATAATCAGGACTCGCTGCTATTTCTGAATTTAATTTGACAGTCTCTGCTCGAAGGTTTGGATGATCTCCCTGACTGGCCTTCGGGAATCAAGAGTATGCAGGCTAACTGGATGGGAGATTGCTCTGGGTGTGCCTTCAGCTTCAGACTACAGGTGAGATGAAATGGTGATCCTGTAAGAGGGGGCAGGTGGTACGGACTCTGAAAGGGTAGAGGTGGGAACTCTGGACCAAACACTTGCACCATGTGCTTCTTTAAAGCATAACTTCTTTTATACTTTTCTCATTATTTTTTTTCTTCAAATCAAGAAATATGTTGGACCTCAACAGTATAGATGTGATAAAAACACAAGGAGTTGATGTACTGCTATTTCTGTGTATTGGCCAGCAGACAAGCTACCATGCTGATCTTTGTATCACATGACACCTGCAGCACCTCCTAGTTGGGATAAGAAGCAGAATGCAGGGCCTGGCTCAAAAAGCCTGCTTGAAATCAAACAACTCACAAATGTTCACAATACCTACAGCACACAATTTAAAATAATACAAGAACAAAATAATGGATGATGATGACATAAAAGCAGGACTCTTCTTATTTCTCCCTTTACCTTTACTTCCTCTTACATTATATCTACTCAGAAGTAGATAGCAAAACTTCCAATATAGATATATATATATAGAAAGGTTTTATTGAACAAATTCCATTGTCGCAGTCTTACAACTGAATTGCCATTGGAATACAATTTAAAAGTACATGTATTTACAAGTTAAAAGTACAATAGTCTTAGGACTATGACCTAATATATATAAAAAATATCATATTAAAACTCTATATCAAAATTTAATGAGTATGGAAAGAAAGAAGGGGTGAATGAGGAATAGGAGCAAGGAGCAAGAATCAACAAAAGGTGAGAAAGGATTGAAAGGAAAAGAAAGGAAAGGTAAGTAAGAGGAATATATCAAGAAAGATGAGGTGAAAAACATGTGTAATGAGCCTTCTATTAATTAACTTTAAAATGTACAGATCCTCATGGCTTGTACTAACAACCAATATATAAAACATGTATACAAATTATTATACTAAACTTTTGACAGGAAACATCAAGTATTGTAGTATTGTAGTTATGAAACATCTCCAGGTGGTCAAATTCAAACATAGTACAATTGTGAAATTAAGTATGATCAAAGATATCAGTCGTGCTAAACGTACAGTGAATTAAAAAGACTTGAGGCTAGTGAATAGAAAGTCTCGAAATAGGCGGAGGAGGACATTAGGATTAGATTACAGTGTAAAGATTAAAGCGTTCCAGTAGGAATTTAAAAAAAAAAAAAACAAGCAACCTGCATGCTATTTATACTGTCCATTTCTTTTGAAATTCATTTCATTGTAATAACTATTTATATTTGAGTGTAATCAATAATCATAATTAAGTCATTCATCAAATAATGTTTCACTCGGAATGACGATTTATCAGCCTAACAAGAAAAGGCAGAGCACTGTTTCTGAACCTTTCCGTTCTGCATTTGATTTCTCTCAGTCTATTGCTACGTCGGAGACGTTGGTTTTGTGCTTCAGGCAACCAGTCTTTGAAGTTTCTTTGAAGCGATTCTGCGAATTTTAAGGATAGTTTGTCCCTTCTTTCACTCAGTGTTGCAAGCTCAGTCTTCTGGAGGGCATTTCTGTAGCTCACATATTGGTCAGAGAGAATTATGCGAAGAGCCCTTTTCTGGATCATCTCTATGTTATTGCTTTGCTGCACGGTGATACCAGAGTGCCACAGAGGTACGCAATACTCCAATGTAGGTCGTATGTACGAGGTATATACTGTCAGCAAATCTTTCCTTGGAGCATTAAAGCGCTTCAGAGATCTAATCAAATAGAATTTCCTCGACGCTTTCTTGATGATTTCGTTCACATGACTATTCCACCGGAGGTTGGCCTGGATAATAACCCCAAGCAATTTCAACTCCTTGACTTCTTCAAGAACATTGTTACACAGCTCAATGCGTGGAGAGGTGATGGCCGCTCGTGCAAATGACACTTGCATCACTTTGCACTTTGCTGGATTTAGTCGTAGTTGAGTGTCGTCACACCACAATTGGAAATCAGTTATTGCTGTTGCGATTGCGCTTTCATCACGCATCTTGCGACTCTCGGCTAAAGTCAGATCGTCTACATACTTCCATCTCCTGGCCATCGGCGTTGTGGCAAGAGCATCGTTTATCAACACCAGGAAGATGAGGGGGCCAAGTCGGGTTCCCTGTGGCACACCTCCACTAGGCATCAAGGATGTTGACAGAATACCATGGTATACAAAACAAATTATTATAGAAACACTTTTACATTTACACATTTACACATTTACATTTACTTTTGAGTACTGATTCTTGTTGTTTCTAAGTATCGATTGTAACAGTAAATTCTTTATTTTTTGTTTTGTTACGTTCTCTAAACTGATTTGTACCAAAATACTTTGTTTAGCTGTTTAAGGGGTTAGGCTCGACTAGCACATGTATGTGCTATTATCTGGCCCCTTTTACCAACCCCAATAGTTTCTCTTTCTGTATATGTAATTATTGTATAAAATGTGTGGAATGTATTGCTGTTGGTAAATAAATCAAATCAAATCAATTTATATATTTTGTTATAAGTCTCTAGTTACCTGATGCACCAGCATTCAAAAACAGAGTATTTATCTCCTCTTTAATTTGGCCCATATAACATTCATTATTATTAATGATGCTAAAAGAAAACTGCACATCATCAGGTTTGTTTTCAGTGAAGTTGTCAGTTTTTTCTTTCTTTTAAAGAGTAGTGAAAGGAGATACTCTCCCAATCATACAGCCAGGTTTATACTTTAGGAACAGGATAGATTGACAGAAATGATAAGGTTGATGATCGAAGAATGGATAATGATTATGGTGGTGAATGAGATCCGAGATACAGAATAGAGAGAGAGAGAGAGAGAGACACTGAGAGAGAGAGAGAAAGAAAGAGAGCAAGTGTATCAATAAAATATACTTTGTTATGTTGATGTTGTTATGGTTTTCTTCTTCAGTTACCAAGTGCATCAGAAGAGTCGATATCAGTCCACACCCAGTATCCAGAGCTGATCTATGGGGCATCACATGTCATCTTAGCCCCTACCCACACTCTACTCAAGAAACCTGAATTCATCCAGAATCTCACAGAGGAAATCAGGACCAAGTTAGAGCAGCTGGAATCTGAAAGAACAGGTAATGCAGGATATAGTTCAGGGACAAGCCTTCGATAGGCCTTTGGCCTTTGTTTGCCCCCCCCCCCACATTTTGATACTTCTGTTCTGCTTTGTTATTTGTTGGAATTTACTTTGTATTGTGTATGTTTGTAATTGTGATTTTTATTAAATGTGCAAATAAAATTAATTGAATTGAATTGAACATTCATTTCATACCTCACAAATGAATAAATTCATAAAATACACTTTTAGAGTCTAATCATTATGACATTTGCTTGTTTGATAGTGCATTATTCTCATGAGACAGTCGCCAGTAGAAGCAGTATTTTGTAGTAATTCCCATAATGAATACAGACCATGTACTTCATGTAGTAAAGAATGCACTATTCGTCTAATAATGGTGTTGAGAAGACATGTACTCTATATGTTTGTAGGTACAGAAGCAGTAGACCTACGACTTGAATTTCTGCCCAAGGGATGTGATAAATGATAACTATTGCCTTTCCAAAGGGCATTATCAAATAATTTTGTTGTCGGTCCTTTGATCACTTGATCATGAGACCACTGCTTTTCCACTGAGCCTTTGTGCCTCCTCAACAAAGGAACATGAATATGTCTATGAAAGTAAAAGAAAAAAAAGGGGGGAGGTTACAGGATGTCAGGGTGAGGCTGTCATATCTTGTGCCATGATCCCTTTCAGCATTAAGTTTGCTTCCTGTTGTGAAGATCTAGGGCTTTAGATCTTATTTTTGAAGAGTTGTATTTATCTTTAGCTATACCAAAATGTTCTTACTCCTTTACAGATGTAGATCTTGGCGTCCAAGTTCTCCATCCCTTCACACAGCAGCCGGTGCCACTGTTTGCCTCAAGTCGTAAGACCTTTGAGGAGAATGTGGAATCCCATCTAGGAATCCCTTGCAGCGGAGAGGAGGAGGATGTAGAGTTTGTTCATCAGCATGGCATCAGCTATGAGAAGGTCCTTGATGGTGGGAGGATTGTCAACTCCGATCAGGTACCGGTACCTTAACTGTCAATTTTTTCTTGAATTTCTTTTATGGTAGATTTGATAAACTTGATCCAATTAATGAAAGTATAATTACATATAGACTATCTCTCTCTCTCAGAGGTATCACAGAGAAAAATACTGCACAGGAAAGATTCATTTGATGAGTAATCTTGATTATAATCATTGCTATTGAAATGGATTCTTGACTGCTAGATTTAAAGCTATGATAAAGTATGATACATTCAGCTTGCCTACTTGTTTTAGGGGGATTTGAAGGGCAACATTTTTCTTTAATTATCTTGTCTACAGTACAGTTATCCTCTTCTCTTTTTCTCAACTTTATTGCTACCTTTAACTCATTCTTATTCTATTTCTTGATGTAGCTATCAAGGTTGTCTAGGGATGAGGCCAGGTCCTCCATCATGGAACATGCCAGAGAGCTGGGTATAGGTGGTCACATGACCAGTCCCAGGCAGTTTGATTGGCTGATATCAAGGCAGCGCTACTGGGGTACCCCGATCCCTGTCATACACTGTCCAACATGCAAGGTAAAAAATACTCTGCAGATACTGCTGCGTAGGTTTGTCACAGTGGATTTAACCTTCAGTTTTGAACACAAATTTGGCACATCACACATTTCACATATACTCCAGCTCAAGAACTGTAAGGTGTAGTATAATCGTTATTTGACGAGTTAATAACAAATTGCTCATTTGTATTCACATAATATATTGAATAAAGTAGAGGAGCCTGGTAATAACAGCAGCTGAAGCCTCCAGTAATTGTTCCATTTACTCATTTAAAAGAGTTGGTAGCTAGGTAGGTTTAGGTCAAGATGTTAACCCATGATTACATTGACAATTTTGGGTGAATTGGATATGGAGTAATTACGCAGTTGGCTAAGGATTGAATTACATGGAGAGACATTGATTGGAAAGGGATGGATAGATCATTATCAATGGTGAGATAAATTGCTTTCAGTAAACATTAATAGATATAATTTGAATACAAAACAAGGAAAATCATAATTTATCATGTCATATTTCTTTCAGGCTGTTCCAGTTCCACACACCGAGCTTCCAGTGACCCTTCCCAAGCTGGACTCCCTCTCAGGAAAGGGCTTGTCCCCACTCGAGAATCAGGCAGACTGGATCAACACACGGTGTCCAAAGTGTGGGGGAGCAGCGAAAAGAGAAACAGACACCATGGACACATTTGTGGATTCTTCCTGGTACTACCTGAGGTACACTGATTCAACCAATCAGAAGGAAGCCTTTGGAAAGGAGAATGCTGATTGGCTGCTGCCTGTAGATGTCTATGTTGGAGGAAAAGAACATGGTACCTGTTAATATTAGTTCTTTACATAAGATATTACTCTTGTTCCAATTCTACGTACTTACTTGTAATAATGAGCTCAAGAATCGAGAGAAAAAAACACACGGTAAAACAAGAGTATTATAGATAGTTGCTGCTTGTATCTGTTCCCAAAACTCAAACCTTTTTTCTCGGACCCAGACCTTAGGGAGGTATCACAAATCTGTGACACTCTGAATTAAAGAGAAACCAATTTGAAATAAATCATGCAGCTGTTTAAGAAATTAAGGCAAGATAAAATATGACATTTTTGCTTCTTTTCATTAATCCTCCAGTAGAATGTGCATTTTATGGAAAAGGCTAACCCCAAGCAACAACAAACAAGTTTTTTTTTAAAAAAACGCATTTTGCTTACTTTATCCTCAGTATAATCTTTTACCTAATTAAATGATTATGTGAGAAGAAAATAATATATAGCAGGCACAGTAGAAACTTCCTCACAGCTGGAGGGGGAATTTATCATAGTATACATCTTTGTTGTTTCATAGATAATTTTTACAGAGGTATCACTTATTATCTCTCTCCTGCCATACAGCTATAATGCACCTGTTGTATGCTCGGTTCATCAACCACTTCCTGCATGACCAGGGGCTAGTAGCCCACAAGGAACCTTTCAAGAGGTTACTTGTCCAAGGACTTGTGATGGGGCAGAGTTACAGAGTGACATCAACTGGGAAGTATATCACGCCTGATCAAGTAGATCATTCAGGTGAGTAAAGTAATACAATATTATGACATTTTAGACTCAGATGCCAAAGCAAAGATCTATCTAGTCAGCTTTAAGCAAATACATCGGTAAGCTTCTGAATGTGTTTGTAGAGAGCCATTTTCCCTTGTTAGTGCTTATCATTTTGTGCATGAACTGATTGTAATAACAGTAGTATTATATTTGTCTATAATAATGCATAGTCTCAAACTGGACAATTTCTCTGTCTCTGTGCACCGGCCTTCAAAGTACTTTTGGAATCATCATATAGCCAAGCTTTCCTGATACATTATTTTGCAAGTTGATTTTACATTTTTAAAATTTTATTTAGAGTGCATCTTAGCTTGCAATATCTCTTCATCGAAGATAATTATTTGAAGCTGATATTTGAAAATATTTTCCCGCATGAAAGCCTGACTTACAAGTACAGAGCAAAATACTTTAATATTTGTGTTTGGTCCCCATTCGAATCACAAAGGATAAACTCCACAGTGATTTAAATACAGTGAAACCTGTATATAAAGCCCACTCAAGGGAAACCTGAAAAGTGCTTGTTATAGAAAGGCGGTCTTTATGTACAGGTTTCTCTAGTACAGATTTCAATGAGAAACCGTATTAAAGGAAAATGAGAAAAAAAAAGTGACCTTTATAGACAGGTGGTCTTTCTATACAGGTGGTCACTAAAGCAGGTTTGACTGTAATATGATATCACTCACTTCACCCATGTACATGGTTCAATGAGAAACCATATTCAAGGGAAATGAAAAAAAATGTGGCCTTTATAGACAGGTGGTCTTTCTATACAGGTGGTCGCTATTAAAATCAGGTTTGACTGTAATAGGATATCACTCACTTCACCCAGGTTCTGCACCAGTCCAGAAGGGTACAGGGGAGGAGCTGGCCGTCAAATGGGAGAAGATGAGTAAGTCAAAGTATAACGGGGTCGACCCTGAGGGCGCTATAGAGGAGTTTGGCGTAGATACTGTCAGGCTCTTCATCTTGAGTGGTATACCACCAGACCTGGACATGATGTGGAACGTAGAAGGTACATAAAACATCATGGCTGCATAATTTGTTTTAGCCTTTTATTCATTATCTGACACATGTATAGTTAAAAGTTATGCAGATTCGCGTAAGTTTCATGCTTCAAAATAATTAAATGACAAATGACACAAAGCTGATTTGGGGGGGGGGGGGAGTTTACAGGATGATGACCTTACCATGAAATTAAGTATGTTTCTAAGGAACATCACATTTAGTTTGTTTCTAAAAGGAACATCACATTTAGACGGAGTTGCAAAATTATTGAATATGGCGAATACAATAACACTGATTGTATAAGCATATATCATTTTGTTGTAGCAAAAGTGCAATATTTTGGAATTTCTTTTTTCTGGAACTACAGACTATATTTATATATAACATCAGAGGACCTTGAGAAATGTGACTTTTACCAATCATTTTATGTATTTACTTGGAAACCATTTACCTAAAACCCTTGATTGAAAGTAAACTTTACTTTACTAATCTCTATGTATGTATGTATGCATAGATTAATTTTAAAATGAATCTCTGTGCTTTTGTCAATTAGCAATAACCGGAGTGGTCAGATGGAAGAACAGGATGTGGGGACTGGTGACCAGGTTTTATGAATTGAGAAGTGACAGTGAGAGAAATGATACCAGTCTTGACAAAGAGCAGCATGTCAAATTAGAGAGAGATCTTGAAGTCCAACTCAACAAGGCCATTGAGGATGTGAGTGATGTCTACAGTAATAAATTTGATTTACTCTTTTAATTGGAGGTGCGATAGTTCAGTGATAAATTTGGTTCTTCCAATTTTTGCCCAATATAATTTGATCTTGCTATGACGATATTGTAAATTTTATGGTAAAATTAATCCGTCCTTACTTTTGGCAAAGACTGGCAAAAATTAGATCAACAAATCTGATTTTCCTCCTAACATTGTTAATTCCTTTATTCATGTTCCATATTTTATTCTTGATTAAAATTTGTATCACTATCTCATAGTAGTTCACCTTAACCTGAGTTTTAATTGTCAGTAAATAAGTTAACATTTTCATTCGAGATCTATTAAGAGGGTCCGAAATCGACATTTAAAGATAAACTTGAGTTCTGGTAAAAAAAGAAAATGAATTCTCACAGAATCAAATGAAACTTACACTGAATGTTCAAGATTACAAATAAATGTCATTTGCCAAACAAATTTGGTAGAAAGTGTATACTGGCTGAGTATTGAGCATAGAAAGATAAGGAAATCAAGGTAAGTAGGCCTGACACCATTTGTGTAGTCCCATATATATCTTTCTGTGTACAGTGCTTGTTACTTTACCAAGACTGGGTCAAATTTATTATAATTTTGATGTCTCAAGAACCTTGCAGTACACACCAATACTTATATGCTCCATGATCAACTTTTTCTGATCCATTTCACACCGTTTCTTTCACAATGCAATCGCATGACCAGAACTCAACTTTATCATACCTATTGTCATATCCACCTTTTACCAGGTAACAACCCATTTTGGTTCCGACTACATGCTAAGTGTGGCGATCAGTCGTCTGATGACCATGACCAACCAGCTGAGAGCATACCCTGATGACTTCATCAAGAACTCTGTAGCCTTCCAGGATGCTCTAGGATCCCTCTGCATCATGGTAGCACCCATGGCTCCTCTCATAGCCAGTGAGATGTGGCAGGGTATCGGTGGGGCTGGTTACGCCAAAGACAGTAGGTGGGACTGGGTAAGTTCAGAGATTGGCAAATAAAATGTTACAATTGAATTAATTGACATTCTCTTTGGATAAGGATTTTATTATCTTATTTTCATGAACATTTCTAATAAAAAAAATTCTGTCGGTCTTTATTTCTAAGAAAGACTGTTGTTAGAAAAACTTTCAAATGATAACATTTTGAGGACTGTTGACTTGAATTTAATAGATAACCTTTATTTATGGATTTATGAGTGTTAAATGGTAAAAACTTCATTTCACACTCTACATTTTTCCTGTGATTATTCTTTAAGTATACATATTAGACAAAAAGTGGGACACATTCTTTTAGGTTCTGAAAAAGTTCCTTGCCTAGTGTATCAAGTGGATGAGGTTTGCCCTCCTCAACAAAACTGCATTGTATATAGTCTAAAATACCAGCATACCTCTTGATAGGACATAGATGAATGAATCCAATTTCAGACTTTCTAATATATTGGGTTGCGAAATTGCAAAAGCAGTTGCCTTGAATATTCATGTTTATAAAGCTCAATCATTTTCAGAGTTTCATGGACTGGTGTCACTTATATTATGTTGATGTAGACAAAGACGGTGCTTGAGCAAAGATGGCCATCAGTCACCGAATGCAACCAAGTCAGTTTGGATACAGTTGAACTTGTAATTAAGGTGAGTATACTCTATATATGTGTGAAATTGTTATGCTACAGACGTAAATGAATCAAATCTGATTATGTACATTTAGGAACTGATTTTGATGTCACTATCCGCAAGATATGTCTTGGATTTAAACGGGGGGCTGACATAATCAATTTGTAGGCAAAGACAGAGAGCTGACCTCAAGTCTAACACTTATATCACTAAAAGATGCCCTCATGTATGTGTATTAAAAGAGAGATACAACCTGTACTAACTTAGTTCAAATCAACATAATTTCTTAGTTACTCATCATTCCAGTAGCAGAAAAAATGCATCATAAAACCATGAAAATATAATGTAATAGAAGAAGATCCACTTTGTCCTCTTTGGAAGAAAACACAGATACTTTTATATAATGGATATTGATCACAGAGCAAAGATTTTATTGATGAAAGATTTCTCTATAATCAAACAGGATGTGCATATAGCCAATGGGTACGAAGCACCAAAATTTGAGGAAACATGTTTATGCAGTGAAAACAAAGTTGTCTCTACTAGACCAATACTAAGGCTTTTGTGTTGTTTTTCTCTATGCCAGATCAATAACAAGACGAGCGGGAAAGTTTCTGTTCCAGCATCTCTGTTGGAAAACAAGGAAGAGCTAGAGCGTTTCATACTGGATAGTGAGCTGGGAAGGAAACAAATGGCTTCCAAGACTATCAACAAGATGATTGTTGCAGCTAAAGTACCCCTTGTCAATTTCTTGACAAGGTGATGTTCGGACCAAGAATATTTTTGAGAAGTTATTAAACAGATATCTAGAAGATTATTGAAGCAGCTAGCTTCAAAAGCTGTTCTGAAGATGGTCACAAAATTTAAAGATCCTCATGTTGATGTTAGGATGCCACCGATGTCAAAGACTATCAAGAAGGTGAATCGTGCAGCTAAGGTACAACTAATCAATATCTTGACCAGATGATAGGAACTGACTTGCTTTCAAAGCTATCCAGAGACCATTGTGGGAGCTAAAGAAAGTAAAGCTTTTAGCAAATTTCTTGACAAGGTGGTAATAGAATCTCACTGAATTGAAGAGCTATATAGCAATGAAAGTGCCACTCGTCAGTTTCCTGACTAGCTTGTGATGGGACCTGACCGATTTCAAAAGTTATCTGGAAGTTGATTGAAGCAGCTAAACTTCTTGACCAGTGTGACAATATCATGGAAAGTTTGTTTGTTTGTTTTACCTGACTGCTAAGAAAGCATGTGTATGCTTGTAACTTAAGCAACCAGGGGATGATGGCTTTAAGTCCTCTCCGAGGGACTTGGTGTGAGAACTAATGCCTTACCAAAGGGCACTAGTGCATTGACTTGGTTTCGACTCCGGGACCTCCCGGTTAAGAGACCACTGCTGTACCACTGAGCCTCCTCCAGAGGACACTACAGTTGGTCAAAAAGTAGACACAAATTTTCCCGTCATTGAAGTTTATAATGTACAATGGCTCTTCCTACCCAGGGAGCATTGGGGGTTGGATCAATTGAATCGAGGCATTCATATATGTTGCTTCTTTAAGTTTTCTTTCTACCCAGGTATCCAAGGTGATAATAAATTAAACTGTTTTATATCACAGTTATTTTCGATCGCAGGTCATTAATAAATGTCTCATTTAAACTATTTCTCTTCGGCAAGTACTCATGGTCGCTATTTTGAGTTTCACTTGGACACAATGTGCCAGGCAGCTGTATCCAATTTCTCAACAATTGTTTCTGAAACATTTAAAGCATCATACAAATAATGCATTGCTCTGTTTGCATTTGTTAGAATAAGGGAGTTTACAGATAGCACATGGTACAAATGACCCCAAATATCCACAGATCTTTTACACATGGAGAAGTTCCACTTTGAGCATCTTGGAATAACAACTGCCAAAGTCCTAGATGTGCTTCATGAATACCTTTTGTTTGACCTCTTGAAAAGAATACTTCCACCTGCGTATCATATAATGTACCGTTGGTGCATAAATGAATAATGTTACATAACTTTCATGAGCGCATATCCAGTATTCATCTCTGTGGGTTTTACCATTTTGGTACAAATGACCTTTATCTGCCCATGCGCAGATTGTATCTGTAAACTCCCTTATTATTACATGAGGCTAATGTTGATTGTATCTGCTAAATTTTGTTTGATTATACTATTTCTTATACAACTATGCAAGAGGTACAAACAAATAAATGTATTACATTTCCTGAATCTTAATGTGTTGCCCAGTTATACAGTCACACTCCAGTGTATGTAATTATACTATGCAAATGCACACTATTTAAAACTTACACTGTGCAGTTAAGCATATCACATGACTCACAATCAATTGTTAGATAGGAATTCACATAGCTATTTAATGATATAATACATGTGTGTCCAATTTCGTCCTGCACTGTAATTTGGGTGTAGAAGGTTAGGTGAGGCAGCATTCAATTTTCTAGGTTTTCATGAAGAAATTGTGATGTTAATGATAAAATTACACTGCCTGTGACAAAGGATTGTAGTAGTAGCAAATGGTTCACATCTCAAAATGTTTAAAACATATGCAAATGCATATAATACATTCTAAAGAATTATAATAATATATTTATTGGTTCCAATATATCTTGAGGTCCAACATTCGCAATTTGTATATGAACTACTTAATTAAATTTGTAGAATCTGCAGTCCTGGTTAAAGTAAGTAACGGGCTGTGATCATTAGAACTTAATGAAAGTAATGATAGCAACAACCACTTACATGTTTATTTTGTGCAATATATATTTACCCATTAAAGAGTAATGTGCTTCCCAGGAACAGAAAATAACAGTTTTTGTTTTAAATATAACCATTGCTTTGTAATTGTTTTTTACTGACCTATTTTTTTCATGTCACAGTATGTTTAAAAATGATGTGGTGAAAATCATTTTTATAATAAAAAACACATTTCATATCTTGAACAATGTTTTCATCTTTTCTTCATTTTCTCTGCGAATAATATATATATATCACCTGAGAAAAGAGTATGAATTACATGTTCTATATGTTAGCGGATGATTAAGATATACACTGTTATAGTAAAGGTCATTTGTTCAGGTGTTTTGTTTTAGTCTGCCCGAGTTGAGTTGTGTCAGAATCATCCCAGTTTCATCTTAAATAACAGTATGCCCTTCCCTAAGCTTTTACTTTTTCATTTTGCCAAAAGTTATCAATTTCTTTTAATTTTGAGATATATATATATATATTTAAAAGAAGAGGGTTAACAATTTCTTACTGATTTACTTTAAGCTAAAGATGTGATATATCTGTAAATAATGTTTTCACCAACTTTGTTTAATAATGCTTGAAAACGGTATTGAGGCCCTTAATAAAAACAGTCACCATCTTTCTGGAGATGAATCAAAATATGTTGGCATTCTCAACAGACGAGATCCTCAAACAGTTTTTCCGAGGGTAACAAATGTCTAAAAATCTGGGGGGGAAATCTTTCCTCCTTTTTGGTGATGATGTCAGACCGGCTAGACGGAGATGGGTTGGGCATGATGTGTTACTATGTGATGCTACTGTCACAGGAAAAAATAATATTGTCGTGCATCATCTAAGATGGGATATCTGTACTTTCACTTCTCCTTGACTAATCTCCATGGAAAACATGTGGGTTTTATAGCGAATCGCGTTAGGACGATGTAGAGGGAAAATGAAAGGTATATACACACAGAGCGGCATTGACTTGCAGTATCTACAATTAACCCTCCCCTTTCTCTCTCTCTCTCTCTCTCTCCCCTCTCTATTTCTCTCTCTCTCTCTCTCTCTCTCTCTCTCCAACTACTTACCTACCTACACCATAAATTTTACTTTTACATATCTCACAAAGTATCCCTCAGAAAAATATATTCATTCTGCCACCGCCGAATTGACGGGACATACTAATGGAGAATTAGAAAAAGGAAGAAAGAAAGAAAGTGTGTGTGTGTGGGGGGGGGGTGTCGTTGTTTAGCCTGTTACTTCCATTCATACTTTCTCAGGTTATTTTTAACATTAAATGCCCGAAATAGAGAAATACTAATGAATAGTTGTATATAGAGGGAAATTACTCAATATCATAGTAGCTATTCTATATATACATACCGCGCGGTACAAATAACAAACTTATAGTTATGGGATAATTTCAAAGTAATTTAATATCTTTAGGTCCACTCCACCCCCCTCTCCCCTCTCTCTCTCTCTCTCTCTCTCTTCCTCCCCTCCCGTCATGTACTACGCCAGTGTATTATTAATCAGGCCAAACGTGAAGCCCCACATTTTCTTGAAAGAAAGAAAAAAACTATTTCAAATGGAAGAGAAAAGGCTCCTCATATTTTCAAAATTACCGAAAAATATATTAAATGTGTGACAAACAGCTAGGCCATAATTTTAAAGGTCATCACTTTTTGCATTTAGCCGACGAAACTTTATCAAATTTTTATAACAGAAGTTTAAAGGGGAGGGGGTATTTTAACAACCGACACACCCCTTCTGCGTCGCCCCTGTCTACCCATGGCCATCTTGCTATTATTGAGGCAAGCTATATAGCCAAGTCGAGACAGATAGCCTTTCGAACGCCCAGCAGAGAGATCAGTAACAATAGTCTGGGACGCCTGTTTTTTTGCGAGTCCCGCGGGATCCGGGATAAATGACATCCAATTTCCCCCTTCTCTCAAGTCGCGGCCGGGCCCTCGGATCGAAGGAAATAGATCTTAATACCATCCAGACAAAAGGGGTTTAGGATGACTCTGCTATCACCCACTGGGGTCGAGGTTGCTTGGTTTGAGGGGTGTGCATTCTATCAGTCTTCCCTCCCTCCCTCTGTCGAAATGCCCCCCTAGTATCAGCCCCCACCCCCTCCCCCCCCCCCCAATATACACACACCCTCTATGGGGAGTTCATGCTAGGATCTTGATGAGACGCCCTTGGACGCCCACAGGAGTTTTAGCGATTTTCTTTTTAGGTCAAGTGACTCTCATTTCAAAACCTTTTCCCTTTAATGCTTTATCATAAATCCTCATGGAATAGTGATGATGTTGATTTCCCTTCGATTCACTACTATTCCCTTAAGTTTTGAAGGTCAAACACTCAAAAATACAATCCAATTTATGGACTTGCACAAAGTTTTCACAAGTGTAATTTCCGAATCGGTTCTTATTCACTCTGGTATTAACAAATAGCCATTTGAACTAAAACGGGTAAAACACATGCACATCATAGTCAAAAAGGTATGTTTTGCAAAGGAGAATTAACAACATATGAATAATAATTATCCTGAAAGTTTAACATCAGTAAATCTGCGTCTTTTTTGTTAAGTCATTGACATTAGAAAGTGATGAGATATAAAAGCGAACTAGAAAATACCAATAAGGAAGACTGGTCTTGTATATCAAGCGATCGCTTTACAATGAAAAGGTTTCGGGTTCGATTCTGAGATAATCATTTTTCCTATATTTTGTTATATATTCCTATATATATTATTATATATTCCTTTGAGATGTATAGTTGGGTTGAGTTTCTTTGTATTGATTATGTGAACTGAATGTGTTCACAGTGTTTTCACATCGTGAGAAGTGACACACCAAAATGTGGATTTGGAACACTTTGATGTTTTTTTTTATTTATGTGAACAGATATGCAGTTTACACATTCTTGAACATAATTACGTGATCGAAATGTCTAAAAAGAAAGTATCGATCTTCATGTCTTGCTCTCACCAAAAACTCGTATGTACTAACATTTAGAAACATTTTAATCTCATCCATCTTTTGCTTAATTCTTAGTGCTTTACTCACTCACACGCATGAAAGAAATATGAAATCACCATTCCGTCGTGCATTTTAGAATTTTCATTGCAATGAAAGTAATTGTCAATTGTAGACATATTTAGACATACCATCACCGAATGCTACAATCGTCATAAGGTTTAATATCCATGTCCATATTTCTATTCATCTTGCGTCTTTCCATCTTGCGCGCTTACTCCGTGGGGAGTCGGTGCTGTATACAAGAAGCGGCTTGGGCTGCCATTCAAAATCCACCATGCATAATTCAACATGGGGAGCCATGGTGTAGCATGATGCAGCAGTTTATTGCTAAATTGTATTTTATTCGTTTTCTCGCTCTTAAAATGCATTTCTTTTCCTTCCTAAGAAATTAAAACGAGCCAAGAAGTAATGCGTCCCAAGGGTGTGATCTGCAGAAGGGACTAATACGCCTTGCCGAGAAAGCGAAAACATATATAAGGATCTTTATTCTATACCCGAGCCTTTTATCGTCATCTCGTCATGTTTTCTGTCTTTCCCGTCATTTCTTGGCTATTGATCTGTTGGGACCACTGATAGGTTTGTTGTGAGGGGAGGGAAAGAGGTGGCGCTCGGGGAGTCCCGCCGCGTGCATTTGTGTTGACGTAAATGTCAGCTTTTGCATATTGCAGCCATATCTTTTTTTAAATTTTTTTCGCCGTCAACATATTTCTGGCGGGTTGGGAGATGGAATGGACAGAATTGTTTATAGGAGAATAAAAATAGAATAAAATAGAATACACGATGGAGAAGTGTATATATTGACATGTGACGGTAGAGAAACAATTTAAAATCCGACTTCCGGAGTTTCGTATGTTTACTTTCCTTTCCTTTCTTTTGTTTTCTACATTCGGCTAATCGGCTTTATATATATATTTTGGTTTCATACCACGGGTTTTGTGAATATTACATGTGTCAGTGAGCAATATGCTGCACCTTGTATGATACATTGTATTGATATTCATAAGAAAATACATGTACAGTTCACAAATAAAGTATTCATGCCCTTTGTAAATTTTATGTTTATTGTGCTTTTCATGAAAGATGCTCGATTGGTTAAATTGGGGCCATCGTTGGAATACTTTTAAATGTAAGCTTTTTTAGGTCGCATTCTTAAATATAAATCGAGCCAAATCAATTTTTTCACATACATATATATATGTAACTTAAAAATTACAAAACTTGTTAAGGATACGAATAATTTAGTTGTGAACTGTATATACACTCTTCATGCCTATGGAGACCGTTTTCTAATTTGTGGTTTATTATTCATGCTTAAAAACTGAAACCTTTGTTATATATAGTGTATCACAGTCGCAATAAAGCTCTTTTCACATTTCTCTCTCTCTCTCTCTCTCTCTCTCTCTCCCCCCCCCTCCTTTCTGTGTATGTCCCTCTTCTTTCCTCTTACCTCTCTGATCTTGCTAAAGACCCCCACCTTTCTTCATATCTCTCCTCTTGCTTATCATGCTAACCTTTATCTATTTACATGCACATGTTTCTCTGGTCACCATTACTCTTTATATATATTTATTTTTTACAATCTCTCTCCTCTCTTGTCTCATTTTTTTTATATATATATTTAAAAGATTGTATGTCGTTCTTTTTCTCTCTCTCTCTCTCTCTCTCTCTCTCTCTCTCAGTATTTCAATGTTTCTCTGTTGATCTCAATGTGCGTCTCTCTCTCTCTCTCTCTCTCTCTCTCAGTATTTCAATGTTTCTCTGTTGATCTCAATGTGCGTCTCTCTTTCTCTCTCTCTCTCTCTCACTAAAATCATTATGTTTCTCCTCTCTCCCTTGGCTATTCATCTCTCTCTGTTATCTGTTACATTCCGAAAAGGAATGAATATATTCATTCAAAATTAAAAAGACGAGGACTTATACAAAAGCAGGCATAATGAATAGTTGTAACATCTTCTTTTTTTTTACTGACTAGTAAACTTATGCAACACCTTTTGTCAATAACAGAAGTACATGTACATGTATATTGAATACTGCCTGTCTTCAGTCCACAGTGTAACATTATGTGAGTAACGAACATTTGTGAGTGTATAACTCACGTCAATTTACCTAAGAAATTTGGGAATATTAAGAACCATATTTAAACAAAACTCTGATATACATTAAACTATAAGGCATTATAATCTTTAATGTTTACATCATGACCTGATCAAGTACACAGATTCCACTGATAACAAAAATTGTTATACACGGTATTCCTTAAGGTCATCTATCTCAAAACTACACGTCTTCAATGTTGAATTGATCAAAAAAGCAGATTATAATGATAATAAAATTGTTATATACGGTGTTCCTAAAAAATATATAACCAAAGTTCAAAGGTCATAAATGCAACCATGATTTTCCCTAGGTTCGGGAAAATCAAAAGTTGGGGAATTAATGTCAAAATTATTCATTTGATTCATTATCCGTTCAAAATTTAACGAATAGGCGACATCTGCCCTTATCTCCTTCGACCTTTTCAACGTGCCAACCTCCACCCTCGACCCACAACTGATGACTTCTACATGTCCAGTGGAGCTCTTCTCCTTTCACCAGAAGTCGATATGCAGAACATCTCAACATTTCAGCAATTCACACATTGAAAAATGTGAGAATAGCTATCAAATGTTCCTTGTTTTATAGTCGTGTGCTGGATACTGATTATGTTACACTACATAACGTAACAGTATACTCATCCAGAAGTCTGCCTATGCATATTAGGATGTGTGGAATGCCATTCATCTCAGCAATTCATTCAGTCACACCACATTTGGAAAGCGAAAAACATTTGAGAATTATTGTTGAAATGACATGGACTCGGTCACAGTGTGACATGTGTAACCTTCAATTTTACATAAGGAATTCAGTCAAACCAAAGTCTTGAAACAAAAGGTGGGTTATGTACGTCACTAATGACGAAAACAATTTTTTTTCAAAGTTTCAAATGAGAGCTGAATATTTATTCTTTACTTCTGTTTAACACTTAAGATAAGAAATGTGCATTTTGTAACAATAAACGACTTTTTAAATTTGCTTACCTATTTTAGGAACACTCTAACCAATAACCTGAGAACGTTAAAAACAAAAACATAATAGAATAGAAAAAAATATACCAAAAACAAACCACCACTTTTCTAAATCATTTTAAAACTATACTATAATCTGCCAAATTATGGTTTCATATGAAATTATTTTTATAATCAGAATACGGGAATACGTGTATATTTGGGGTATCTTGAATCGTCCGAAAAGGGCGGAAACGAAATATCTCCCGACATTATTTTGTTCAAATAACATGCTTTCAAGACTTTCTCATAATAGGGGTAGGGGAGGGTTGGACTATGAAAAAAAAGTTAAAAAGCTAAATTGTCGTAGTATTTTATTCAATGACGAAATGGATAACTCCGGCTATTTTTTGCTCTGAGCCTCTGAGCATTAACATTACGATATGTCATCAAACCTTCTGAAAGTTAGGCTAAAAATTTTAACAATTAGCAGTATAAACACAATTATATAAACTCTTTTTGTCTCTCTTACAAAATACTCCGACGGAAATAATTGTTTACAATATGTATAAATCTCATACAACTTCACCGTCGAGCATCACTGTTGTTTAAAAACAACAATGACAGAACCAAGTATACTACACAACGATTAATTAAAAACATATTACAGCTTCAGAAATCAAACTATTCTGACTGGCCGTGCTCCACTGATACCATGGCAACATCTTGACTACTACTGACTTCTTGTTCCACCGCCCCGGACCCTCCTTCACCCATGCTCTCATCCATGAGCGCTTCCTCTTCTTCGTCATCTAGATTATCGGGAACGATGGTGGGTAACAAACTGCTCTGGATCTTGTGGACCTTCTTGAGGTGACGCCGGAGGTTCTTGGCCAGGGTGAAATTATCCTGGCAGATCTCGCATTGGTGCGTGGACGTCATACGAGACTTAGAATGGGTCCGCATGTGAACCTGTACGTGAAACTTCCTGGAGAACATCTTACCGCAGTGAGGACACATGAACGGGCGGACGCCGCTGTGAGACTGCATGTGGACCTTCCGATTCTCCTTGCGTGCGAATCTTTTGTCGCAGATTGGACATTGGTAGGGTTTTTCCCCACTGTGGGAGCGCATGTGTATGGTGAGGTTCCGGGCGAGCGCAAAGACCTTGTTGCACTCGCCGCAAGTGTATTTCTTCCCCTCGTGGTGGATACGCATGTGACCCTGAAGGTTGCTCAGACACGGGAAGTTCTTCCCGCACTTGGTGCAGTCATACGTCTTTGGTTTCTCGACTACTTCGGCCTCAGAGTGAACACGGAAGTAATGGTGTTGCATTTCCAGGACGGACTGGAACACTTCCGGGCACACTGAGCACTTCACTGTCGGCTTGTTGAGGTGAAGTTTCATGTGGTTACTGAGGCTGAAAAGTGATGCAAAACTTTGTTTGCATTCCCCACAGTTGAACTTGCTCTCCTGGTGGCACTGTGGATGCGACTTGGCATGGTTCATCAGTTCCGCGGGAAAGAAGAAAGACTGGTTGCAATTCATGCACTTGTGGTGTCTACTGTCCATTCCATGTTCGATAGCATGTGCTTGAATGTCGTTGGCACAACTGAACAAAGCTCTGCATATTGGACAACGGTACTCTTTATCTGGATAAGAATGTTCTATGAGGTGACACTGGAGTTTAGCAGGAGAATCAAAGACCTGGCGGCAGAGTTTACACTCATGTAGGACACCTTCTGCGAGGACATGAGACGTCACATGTAGTTGGATCTCTGCCTCAGTGGCAAAGGTCTTCTGGCATTTGATGCACTGATATGTTTTCCCGGTGGAGCTGCCGACAGCACTTGTATTAGCCTCTCTGTTGGATGTTGACTGGCTGTGGACCTGCATGTGAATCACCAACTCTTCCTGTGATTCAAACTTGACCCTACAAACAGTACACCTATGCACTGCTACAATTGAATCAGGGGTCATTTCTCCGTTGGATTTTGAAAACTGTCCACCAAGCTGATTCATCGATTGCCCTAGCTTTGTGACACCATGAAACTGAGCTTCAAGGGTTGTTTTGACACAACGCATACAACTGAAACATGGCCGACCATCACTGTCCAGCTTTGGTACAACATCAGCTCTGCTTGCGAATGCCTTTCCACACAGATAACAAGGATACAGCTCTTGACCAGACAGCGATGATACAATCTGTGTGTGATGGCGAGCGTGCAGTTGCAGCTCTACCAAAGACGTCAACTCCTGAAGGCAAACTAAGCAGCGAATTCTCTCTGAACCTAAGGATAAGTCAACATTGTGTCTCTGGGTGTGATCAAGGAATTCTGCTTCAGAGCGCAAGGACTGATGACACACCTGGCAAACACAAGGTTGCTGAGGGCTTGCAGAACGAGGCGACATTGCTGGTGATTTTGATCGAGCGATTTGGGCTAAGGTTTGTTTCTCCTGCATACTGTGATCATTCAAATGCTTCATCATCTCAAATTTATATTTGAACTTCTCTGGACATATCTGACACGAAAATTTGCCCTTGATATGGTCGGCAATATTGATTGATTGAGTCATCTCCATTTTGATAGTTGCACTTCTTGCCTTGATGTTGTGTTCCTGCTCCCGATGCTTCTCCAAAAGTGATTTCAAAGGAAACATGACATCACAGATCTGACAAGTAAAACATCCAGCCACTTCATCGGTAACAATGTCTTCTTTTGTCTTTGGACTTTTTGCACTGCCTTCTGATTTTATTGAACTTTTCTTTGCACTATCAACCGAGGTCCTACCATGCGCTTCCTCAGGAGTCTCTGCTGGTCCATCAGGTTTTGCAAGAGTACTGCTTCCACCGACATGGTCATGTGCTGCCTGTAAGTGGATATCAAGAGCCTCTTGTGATCGGTAAGGAGCATTGCAGAAGGGACAGCGTAACTGATTTGAGTGTGTAGTGAGGTGGCACTGGAACTCAACATCGGATGCAAAGCTTTGGCTGCAGAATATGCACTTAAAGGGATGCACCATTTTGAGATGTTCTGCTTTTACATGATTCAATAGCTCTGCTTCAGCATTGTACACCACCCCACATTTAGTGCAGCTGAAGATCTTGAATTCATTACTGTGTTTTACAGCAAAGTGCACCTGAATAGACACCTTGGAGTCAAAGACCTCTTTGCAGAGGGAACACTTGAAAAGATGATGAGCATGAATTTCAAACAAATGCTTCTGGAGCTCATCAGGCTTTTTAAAAGATTTCCCACAATCTTTGCACACATACTCCTTAGACACAGTCTTAAAGTGGGTCAGGACATGAACAATAAGTTGTTCCTTATTAGCAAATTCATTGTGGCAGGTGGGACAAGATGCCTTTGTCTCTTCAGCGGTTGATCCTTCACTGCTCTGAGATTGGCGTTCTGGATCTTCTGGTGGTGAAACTGAGATGGAAACAGGAGCCGGTAAGGGGCTGGTCGCTGGCTCTTTCTTCACCACTCTCATTTCCTTTACATCCTTGGTCACTTTGAAAGATGGAATCGAAATAGGAGGCGGTGAAAGTTTGTCAAGGTTAGATTTCCCACTAAGCTGATCTTTAAGGATACTTCCAGAGCTTGAGCTACAAGTAGATTCTGAGTTCAAGTAAACAGGAGTGTGAGAGCTCTTGTGGAACACTTCAATGTGAAGCTGTAGCTGCTCAATAGAGTCAAAGAGGTTTTGCTTGATGCAGTAGGGGCATGGGTACTTCATTTTGTCTAAAGGTTTACAATGGCTTCTCTTCATATGTTCTTGGAGGTATCTTTCATTGGGGTAAGCCTTGGTGCAATGAGGGCACTGAAGCTTGGAACGATCCTTGGCATTGTCAAAAGAATTATGGACATTCCGGAAATGGTCCATGAGAGCTACCTCACTAGGAAAAGCTGCGTTGCAGTATGGACAAACAAGTTTGCCATCTTCCCTGTAAGAAATAAGTCCAGTCATAGAGTGCACACCTTTGACATGTTCATGTAGCTCTGTCATCGTGCTGAACTTCATTGTGCAGTATCCACAGATGAAATTGCAAGCTTCATCCCCACTTTGCATGTTTTTCGCTTCATTCTCATGAAGGGCCGAGATGTGCTCTGTCAGGTTGAACAGACTTGGGTACTCCTTTCCACAGTAGTGGCAGACATAGCTCTGGGGTGTGGAAGGAGACTTGATGTGGATCTGCTGAATGTGTATGCTCAACGATTCTGCACTTGGAAAATCCGTCCAGGAGCAGTGAGGGCAATTCAAGGATGTATCTGGTGTTCCACTTTGACTATTTGGCTGGGATGAGCTGGAAGGCTCGATCTTGATGCTGTGATTGCTGCTTTCCTGCACATCCAACACACTTGGTCTCTTGGATTTCATGTCACCATCAGGATACTCTACCACCATACCGCTGCTACTGGCATGGTGAGCCATATGCTCATCCAGTTGTTCTTCTGATAAGAAATAGACAGAACATTGATCACACTTGAAAGCAAGATCTTCTTCTGGGCTGGACTTACTGCAGGTGTTCTGATGGAGCACCAGAGCCCTACTGGTTAGAAATCCTCGGTTGCAAGTTGAACAAAGCTGCAGGCTGGCAGGCCCCTGTTTCTTCACGCTTCCTTTGATATGAGTCTGGATATGAGTCTTGAGGTGGTCGCTACGGGCGTAAGCCGCCTCACAGTAAGGACAGTGGTACTTCTTGAAACCGGTGTGAAGCTTCACATGCCGATCCAGACTCCTCTTGTGCTTGAAAAGGCGAGCACAGTAAGTGCATTCAAAGCGCAGCTTGTCTCTATGGCTCTGCTCGTGAATCTTCAGGAAGCGAAGCCTTGAAAAGGACTTATCACAGTACTGGCATGGGTAGGGTAGAGAGTTATCGACTGCGGAGACCAGTCCCTTGTGTTCAAGTCGATACTGGGCATCTCCCTCAACATCACCAGCAATCAAACTGTCATCTGTAATGACGAAATGTAATCAGAAGAGATGTTAAAAACTACTCATGGCATTTGGTGATCTTATCATAATTATGCTCCCAATGGAATCATCATATCTGTGATCTAAATCTGTGTACCAATCAATGGAAATATATTCCTTTCTGGGCAACTGAAGACAATTCATCTCACTCGGTTGGCCATAGAGGAATCCCTCGAGAAGTGACTCATGAAGAAATCACGTTCTATATTCATCGAAATGAGTTACCAAGATGGCTTGGTGTCATATAGAAATCAATAGATAAATACAGCTAGGGAATCGATTGCTGAAGTTGACCTTATTCAACAGCACAGGTGAAAAACAACACGTGAAATGCAGGTAAGTAATAAGTATATCATTCATATCAACTTGGGTATTTAACACATTTTCTATTACTTTCCTTGATTAGATACGGGTTAGATAACTTGTTTTCATGATAATAATAAAAAATGAGATGAAGAAGAGAATGTGAAAATAGGCAGATTGACAACCAAATTGGGTGCATCACAGGGCTTTAATGAACACATAATACTGAATACTGAATACTGACATAACCCCTCAGTTAGTATACTGGTCTATAATTATGAAAGTCTACTCGGACCAAATGATGCCATCTTCTGAATGATTTAAACAATCATCATCAAATAACAATTCATATTTCAAGCCTACCTGGTTTGCAGTCTTTGTTCCTATGATCCATGAAGTCCGTGATGCTGTTAAAGGTCTCACTGCAGACATCACACTTGTAGATCTCTTCCTCCTCATCGTCGTTCTCATCCTCGCCATCTTCCCCGTCGTCATCATCCTCATCCTCCTCCTCCGCTGTGTCACCAGCTTTGTCCGCCCCATCAGATCCACCATCCATCTCCATGGTAACATCTACTGCATCTCCTAGCAACCAGAGAGAAAGAGTGTTCCCTAATGAGTCGAATTTGTAAAAAGAATATACATGAAAGTGGAAGAGAGATTTACTTCTCCTAACTTGGCATCACTCCTCTTTCAATAAATATGTTAATTTCTCTCCTCTAATTAATCCAGATGGTGCTTGAATTGATGTCAAATAATTTTGATAGTTTCGTTCTTTTTTACATCAGGTAATACCAGACTCTTTCTTTTTAAATCTGTCATTATTTTGCAACCATCCAACAACGAATAATTACAGCATTCTGTTGGAATATATTGATCACAAATTGTGACTAAACTAACGTTGTCATAATATTAAAGAATTTGAGCACGGCAAAATATCAAAAAGTACCCAAAATCATATGAAACCGATTCAACAAAACAAACGGCGTTTAATCTTTCTGTTGAATGTGTTCTTGGAGATTCTATATGTTATTTTTTTTATTCGATTGTGCAACTGTCGCATTTTGCTTGCGATCCTTCATTTGTAAGAATATTAAGAAGGTCAAAATCGATATCGGAAAAGAAGCTTCAATATCATTGGGTGCCCTCGCGCTCACCAACTTGAGATATCTCTCATTATCGCATTATGATTACTGAAAATTGGGGCTGTGACAGGGCTTGGCGAGTAATAATTCATATCACTAATGGCATGCATCATCATTCCAAAACATCAAGCAAAATATCGTTCAACAATGTTCCCATCATCCCATCCCCCCTCTTGTCCCCTCTTTCTGCATTCTCATCATGTCGCGTTGGCTCTAACTGTCTTGGGAGACGTTTTCATCAAAATTCAAATCGCCTTAACCAAGTTGAACGTTTTGGAGCGGGATGCTGCATGAGACATGCAACTCAGCACTTCTATCAAACACTATTATTATATCCCCCATAACTCCCTAGCGATGAGCGGAAGTCATATCTAGAGTGGTTGATGCCTCTACCACATGACATCATCTCACATCTCGTATCCCATAATTCCCTCGCTTTCTCCTGGGAGATCGGTCACTGGGGTAATTTGGTTCAAGTCATTAGACGTGTTTGCGGGCTGTTTTCTTCCTCACGGGAAAGGCGAGTGGGAGGCACATAAAAAGGGGACAAGACAAAATCACCAGCTCTTTCTTTCTGTCTTCTAATCGTTTGATGTGTATTCGGAGATGACGATTCACTGAAATGCATGAGGAGATGCTAGGGTTCGTACGACTGTAAGTTTTGCGCATCCCATCGCGCTTGATCAACCTGAAGAAAATCATTTGGAGGTGGGCGCAAGATCGAAAGCATTGATCATACTTCTGACATTTTGCAAAGAGAATCACATGTTTTACTTTTTACTTCGCTGCTTTGGGGGAATTTGTTAAGGTAACCCTTCCGGAAGGAAGGGAACATTCTAGCATTGTTATCCGGCGCTTTCTCTCTCTCTCTCTATCTCTGCACGCCTTCCTCGAAAAAATGATTAATTTGGAGAATGCTATACCGGCGCAAGGCTAAATTTCCCAATGGACAGATAATAAGAACCGCGTTAGCATTTGAGATATTAAGTGATAACATTAAGTATTCTATTATTTTTCATCGAACTGAATCATGAATCAATTTGTTTTCGCTCTTTCCATCAAATGTGTTCTTTAATCACGGCTTATCTGGAAAGGATGAAAGTTTTTGAAAAAATACACCAAGTAGTAAGTTGAGTGTGCCCTTATTGTTGGACCGGCATAAATAATTGTGGAGACTTATGCTTTGAACAATAACCAGTTCTAAATGAGCAAAATTACGCCCAAGGTTGATTGATATACATATCATTTTGCCTTCGTCGTGGAACCTTTTAAACAAGGCCATGTCTTGCAAAGTGTTTCGATTGGTCCAAATCGATTGCAAGTCCCCGAGTCAATGCCACATATACATTCGCATCTCTTTTCTATCACACTAGAGCCAAGTTGCGATCGAATCGGATTGCTAGCAACTGTTTACAAGACAGTGCCTGATATAATAAGTATCATGGTGTATTGCGTGGTGATTGTAAACCGTACGAAGGTAAAATCTGGATATTGTTTAAGGACAATTAAGACAAAAGCTTAGTTTTGTTTAAAGTGGTGGGATAACATGTGACTGGTGCAGAAGACTATAAATATTGCAGCTTGAAGCTTGCAAACACGGTCGCCATAAATCCCCCGACCCTTAGAGACCCGTGCCCTACGCGGCACCGGACGAGGATGCCCTCCCTCCATCAGTATAAGCAGCATCACCCAGTGCGCGCGCAGAGGCAAATACGCCACTGGAATGAAGAAGTGGCCACGAGGAGTCGCCCTCTAGTCTCAAGATTCCAGATGTTTAGAGGTGATTTTTTAGAATGGATACATCTATCTTCTTGACACAATGCGAGAAGGCCTATGACCTAATGGAATTCCCCATGATGACTGAGTATCATTGGAATTTGTGACGTCTCTTAAATACTTTAAGTTTACTTCTTCAACATGTAATGTCATTTATGGTTTCGATTCTCCTCCGAAAATATCAAACACTTAGAATTTCCATAGCATCAATATAACAACACTGAAAAGGGGACATTCCAATGTGTCTTAACTTGAACCATAAAATTGGTGACCCGTTAAGAAGTATGTTCTACTGACAGTAAACAGTCTTTGCAATCATTTTTTAAATAAATTCTTTAATGATTCATTCAGTATGCCCCCCCCCCCCCCGTCAAACTGCCCATTCGCTTACATTCTTTTAGGCCTCATACATGCAAACTGATATTCTTTCAAATTACAAAAATACATCTGTACCTCCAAGACTAGTACCATAATTCCCACAATTCCCGTGGCGCTTCATCTCTCCTGGGTAACGACTGATCAAAATGGAACCCGACTCTGACCAAACAACGTGCCTAAAAATATAATACCCATCGTTCATGCACTGGCCAAGCAAGACAGTTGGTTGGTTGGCTATAAGATTGGCCATGCAGCTATACACTTACCCGCAATCGTATCGTTGCCTGTTGGTGATTCATTTGCCGGGTCGTCGGGGAGTTCCCCTGGGGTTCCTTCTGTAAGAGAGAAAGAGAGAGAGAACAGTCCCAGAGAGGGTTAGCAAGATGGCCTCATGTCTCCCATTAATGGCATCTGAATCATGCATTATACACCGAGTGGACTTCAATCCATGGAGAGGGAGGGCGGCTGACACTATTTCCTAATGGATGTTCCTTTGCGTTTTTATCTTCCCGAAGAATCTAAGGAAAACAATATTCTCGTTTGAATAATGATACAAGATGACTGGATGTCGTGTAGGTCCACTCCTCAAAACTGATGTCGGTCTTTACGTTGGATGATCAGTGGGGGTGTGCCCGTTGGGAATTTATGTGCTGAGATGTCATGTGATTCATACTGACAGAGTGGAATTATTCAACAAATTCTCTACACTTCCGAGGCGAGAACAGACAATATTAGTATGTTGGCTGTAAGACGGAGAATACCGAGTTACATGCATGCTAACTAATGATGAATTCAGACACAATCGGGACATTAACTCAATATTGCTGATGAGCCTTCGGGTGAAACAGACTGTACAGCACTTACTAATAAAGTTGAACCTTTCCAACTCCTATATATGTATTTATACTGCTGTAAGACAATATTCGTCCGTAAGCTTGTTATTATGTTGCATTTCTCTCTATCTATTAACAAAATGTATGGATCTATGAAAACGAATATTATGATTGTTCTTGAAATCTAAACGGCTCACTATCACGTTTCGGTCTCACATTCTACTTATCAACTGAAGTGTAGCGAAAATTATGCGACTACCTGTAAATGTTATCGACCCCTCTAAAAATGCCTATATCCTGAATGCATGTAACCTATTATGTCGGATGGCCCTTTGCAGATCCAAGGAGGAGAAGGGAGGAGGAAGAGAGAAAGAAGAAGAAGAAGAAGAAGAAGATGTCACACCTGGCCCATCTGGTATCCCCAAGAGGCTGCATTCGACCCCCACGTTAAAATCAAACATCCATAAACAAACTTAGCTTTGTAAGGACAGCCTTAATCACATAATAAACCAAAATATGTCTGATCTTCTTTAGGGGAAGAAAAAAGAGAGAAAGAATAAGAAGAGGAAGAAGATGTCACACCCGGCCCATCTGGTATCCCCAAGAGGTTACATTCAACCCCACGTTAAAATCAAAAAGCCATAAGCAAACTCAGCTTTGTAAGGACAACCTTAATCACCTAATAAACCAAAATATGTCTGATCTTCTTTAGGGAAACTGATGAAGAGCAGAGGAAGAAGTACTCCAAACATCTTTAACGTGGGATGAGTCAAGGCTCGGAAGCTGCCAAGATTCCGCATCCCTAGAGACGGGACGAAATGTCTTTTCTGGAGGAAGATGGGGAGCTAGACATCCCAGGAGGGATCAAACCCTGTCAGCTTCGGGCTTCGAAAGGAAGGAAATATCCACTTAGTTTCTTTTGACTCACAGATAATGAGAACCACTCACAAAGTCTCTCCCTCCCTGGCTCGAAACACCCCCCTCTGAAACTTTCAGTGATGTTCTTGAGGCCTTTGTTTCCCATCTAGACTTGGATGGGTGTGAGACCCGTAAGGAGGAACCCCAAACAGCCTGCATCTTCCTCCGTTGGGCAAGCTTAATTGTTGAGGTTTGGTAAACAACAGTGTATTGTTTCCATCAGGTTGGTGCTGGGATTCATTATGCTGTATCCAGTGGCGACACACCCAAGTAATGACCCAACGATCCTTCTTTAAAAATCCCATTTATCACACGATTTATATATATTTCTTGTTTTGTTACAACAAAAATTTGATCGATACATATTTAGCTAGAAAGCACCCTAAATTTTAAAAAAATTATTCAGTGCATAAATATTTGATAAACGAATAATCAGTAGGTGACTATAATGTTACTACAGAAATAAAAACAAACGACGATCAATATTCTCATAATTTTTACGATTTCTAGAGGACCGTTTTTATCGTCAGGATTCTGTTGGGTCATTATTTTCTTCGATGTCTAATCTAAGGCACCTGCATTGCTTATATTTCTTTATTTAATCAATCAATCAATCACATTTATAACAGCGCTCTTGTGAGCATGAGCGACTCGGTCTTCAAATGAAATAATAAGACAAGATATTTATCAACACTTGACAATCATAAAGAGAAAGAAAAGAAGAAAAAAACACTCTGCAGATACGGATTACGGAATCAGCAGGCCTCATTTGCATGCTTGTAGTTTTGTCCAAGATGAATTATTCACAACAAATCGCCCTTGTGGGAGACATTCGTATGCTGTGCATTGATCAATCGGGTGTGGTGGGCAAATATCAATATAACCTGCCATATCTCATAGTGCTTTGAAACGGCGGTGAAGTTTGTTCAAATGTTGTCTTTTTCTTTCTTTTGCGGCGGGGCAGGAGGAAAAGAGAAATGGTGCACGAATCCAGGAGGAAGGTGGACTGATAACATGGATAAGGGGAAAAATAAAGGTGATGGCATCAGTGAAGTTTCATTTTTGTCACGCTTATTTTAAAGGAATGCATCAAATTCAATGTTGATGCATTATACTCGGTGCAATGTTCTTTTTTGCCCTGTTTGGAAAGTTACAAAATTTGTGAAATCATCCCTCGGAGGTAACTAGTTTTTTTTTTTTTTTTTTTAATTTCGGGTAATGGTTCTGAAGCTACCAAAGAAGTAAAATTTTATTTATTTATTTATTTATTTAATTTTGTTGTTGAAAACTAGATGACATTTTTACTACACCTTGTCAATATTTACTTGTAATATATTATGAAGTTTACATTGCAAGTCCATTCTTTTATTCAGAAAAGAGAATATCGAACTGTTAGTATCCAACACGAGTGTTTATTCCCTATAACATGAAAGTTACATTACAACAAAATGTGTCTCCCAGTATATATATACCCACCATCCTGACTGGCAGTCTTTTCGATGGCAACATCTCCTCCGTTCTCCTGATCGCATCCTGTTGCATCCTCCAGAGATGGTTGTTTCTCATCTTCACTCACTTCTCCTGAAGAGAAGAGACAAACAGAGGGAGAAAATAGAAGTGTTAGGTATTATCATCAATTCTTAATCACTGCGTTCTGGTGCTGGTGAAAACTAGGTCGAAAGTAGGTGGAGAGTCAAGAGGGCTGACCCGATTGGCAATTTTGTTCCACTAGTAAACAAGTCGTTTAGGAACACACATGTATCTCCACATTGATGAAGCACGAACACAACCTTCTCTGTCAAAAGCTACATAATTAATCATTTAGAAAAAACAAGGATTTTCGTACTCAATTAACGAATTAAAATTCGTGATGAAGCACGAACACAACCTTCTCTGTCAAAAGCTACATAATTAATCATTTAGAAAAAACAAGGATTTTCGTACTCAATTAACTCCCCCCCCCCCCCCCCCCTCCCCTCCCCACTCCCCTCTAACACGAAACGGTATAGCGGCTCCATTAATTTTGTATCTCACTTTTCATGAGCTGAAACCTTATATATCTTCTGCCCTTATACAGATAAAACGATATCATACACTATAATGGCGGTATTAAAATGTAGGAATGTCTTTTAACAAGATCACTTAGTAGGGAAAAAACAGGTCGGTTCATGATTGATGGAGTCGTTATGACAACATTTTAAGTAAATAAACCCTCTACGTGCGAAGAATAAAGTCTAAGATCTATAGTGCGATAATGAAAGCAGAAGATGACATGGATGGGGTCTGGGTTTCAGCATAGTTCAGTCAGCGTCCAAAATGTCCTCTTCAATCACCACCTCGCGGAAAGTTTATCAATCAGTGGCGTATCCAGCATTTGGGTAATGGTGGGGTACTTGCCCCCTCCCCATTTGAGGGCCAAGAAAAAGAAATAACTTACAATGGGTCCACGGCACGCGATGCTCCCTAAACATTCCGCCCTCCTCTTCCCCCCCCCCCCCCTCCCCCACCCCTCACAAAAAGAAAAGTGTGAGCAATCCTGCCCCTGCTCATCAAGTTCTGGATTATCCTATAAATGCCAATGATCATGATGATCAACATTTTCCATCAGTATCTCTTACCTCGGGTTGTGAAATTCAATGGAGGATAGATAGAAAAATTATATAATTTCTTATTTATTTTTTAATTGTATTTATTATCTATTTATTCACTTCTTATATTTTTAAAGGGGAGCACATGTTCGCCAATAGTGGTGGTCTTCAGAGAGGCCCTGTTTTGTAATATTAGAAATACGATGAAGTCACCGCATTATTTTCATGGCTTTTTACAATCATTAATCAATCAACTATCAATCAACTATCATGAAAGCCATATTCTGATTAAGTTCACAAATATCTTTCAAGATATTTACATTTATGTTATTATTACTTTACTAATCTCTCAAGAATTATTTCAAATGCAGAACAAGAAAAACCAAGGAATCAATATTTTGTTAGAAGAGAATCCAAGGAAGATATCTACTCATCAATCATACACTATTTGGCATTCAATCTTACGTATACATCATACGTATTTCTATTATTATTTCCAATTTTTATTTACCTAACCAAGCTACGGGCCTATATATCTTTGCAATGCCTCCGGATATAGTTAATTAATATGCAATAAAACCGTCTTTTCTTAGCCCTAAATATATTCTTTTCCTCATCTAGATTCTTGAATATGTTGTATAAGGTTTTTATTATTCTTTTCAAAATATTTTTTCTATAAAATAAATAGATGGATATATTTCATCAATTATATTGACTTGATTATCAAAGAATCTCCGATTCATTCTGAGATTAAAGAGAAGGTTGAGTTCTGGGAAGAGGTGAAAAATAATTTGTGAGCGTTATCATTCTTATTATGCAAGTGTGGAAGAACATCAGATAAGACATGTTCCCTGAAAAGCATGGCTCTTCAAATGCCTTCATATTCTAAATATGTCATGTACATCGTAAAACTCGGGGGTAGGTTTTTTACGCCAAGTGTTCGTGTAGTCCCATATACATCTTTCTGTGTACAGTGTTTGTAACTTTACCAAGACTTGGCCAATTTCTTATCATTTTGATGATTCCAGAACCTTGCAATACACACAAATTCGTATATGCTAGACGATCAACCTTTTCGGGTCGATTCCACACTGTTTCTTTCACAATGCAATAGCATGACCAGAACTCAACTTCATCTTTAATAATTATATTAATGATGATAATAATAATAATATGTCTTGTTTACACAGGGTAGCCTTAATATAATTAATACTGTTCTCCCTGACCCCAAGCCCATATTTCTAATTCTTTCCAGTTTCCACAATCTGTTATTCTATTTTCTTTATGACTCTATCCGACCCTGCCTAAACCCCCCCCCCTCTCTCTCTCTCTCTCTCTCTCTCTCTCTATCTCTCTATCTATCTCCTCCTGTCTCTCACTTTCTCGTATCCTTGGATCACTTTTTATCTCCTTTATCTCTAAACTTATACTTTTGTTTCCTTTCAACGTCTTCGTCTAACCATCTCCCGAGTATTGAAGATAAGATGAATTTCATACTGAATTATTCAAAAGAAATATAGATATCAGATCATCTTTGACAAGTGACGGATAACTTGGAACTTTAAGCGGGAGAAGGCGTAAGATTAAAGAGGAACGTAATGTCTGCCTGGAGTATACAGTAGTCACTCAAGGATGACGTATTAAGCTGTAATCATAAGGACAACGACCAAAAAAAGGTAGGTTAAGACGTATATATGTCATAAATCTATGGTCAACGATGATCTTTAGTTTAGATTACAAAATAAATTTCAAAACTTAAGATTATTTCTGAAAGAAATGTCATCGCTAACAACTTGAAATCTTTGTTTTCAAAAGTGAATTTAACACGTAGACACTGATGACAAAAACAGTATAATTTAATAAGCAAGAAATTATATCGGCTATACAAGTTATCGTACAAAAGTCGACTTTGTAACAACTGAATTTCAATTGTTATATCATGGACCTACGTGGTTATATCAACCGATCAAAAGAATACCATACCTTACTGTATACGTTAAGAAAGAGTAAACATCAAACAAACATTGGATATGAGAAAAAGCTGCTTTCCATTGCGACATTTATACCAAAAGAATCCTTCGTCTCTTTCCAAATCAATCTTCATTTTTAGCTGAAAGTTGAAAAACACCTTTTGTTCATGATACAATTCATTGTAATTGTTGACACCATTAGGTCTTTTTTTTTTCTTACAAAAAATAGTTTCTTATCTACATCATCACGAATCCGAGGCAGGCCCTCCCCTTTACCCAGCATGTCGCCATCTCACAATGCCAGACCCTAGACGCAAATTAGAGCAATTATTGTGCTCTTTCTAGCAGCCAGTTTTTTAATGTCCTTTGTAATGCCCCAGTCAGACTGGCTGACCGACTCTGAACATCGACCAATTCTTGGCCATTCATGATGATGTCATATTTTGATCGGTCTGTTGTCGGTATCGTTGGTGTGTCTGGGGCTAACGGGAGGTACCCCTGCGGTGCCTTTTTCCTCCCTAGCAAACAATAATCTCAACAGGTAGCTTCACAGGTGTCCAGATCGCACATTGTTGTTGATTCCGTTTCTTGAAGTTCAGAGCATTTGTATTTTTCGGTCTTCTTCGCTTTATGTATTTCCATTATGTTTCGCGAACCGCCCCCCCCCCCCTCTCTCTCTCTCTCTCTCTCTCGTCTGAATGTGTCTGTTTCTTTCTCAGCCCCTACCTTTTCGCTTTCTTCATACAGCTCTCTCTCTCTCTCTCTCTCTCTCTCTCTCTCTTTCTCTACCACTCTCTCCCTTTGAATTGCACACATTTTCCATAGCCCCATGGAAAATGAAAATGTATTTTAATCATTGTCGTTGTCTGAAGCCCACAAAGCACCGACTTAACTGATGAAGATTACTGTGGGGAGTGGGGGAGTGGAGGGGGGGGGGGCAGGAAAACTTGAAAGTATATGACAATGACAGATATTAGGCATAAGCCTCGACGTATTGCCGATCAGAACTTTTATTATGTCACAAAGGTAATAAAAATTACCCCAACACCCTTTAATAAACGTCTTATTGACAATATCATTTCTCAAGGTCACAACAGTTCAGTTTATTCATGGCAGTTTTTGAGGCCTCGTTATTTATTGATTAAAAATAGTTATAATTTTACTTTTTTTCCAAAAATTAAAATGAAATAGAAAGTAACACCTCGCAAAATTACATAAACTGTCTTGAATCGCAGACTACGTCACACAGAGGGAGGCAGGAGCCGCTTGCAAGACATATTTCAAAAGAGCTCACACTCCATAAAATATAAAATCTCCCCCGCCTCTTGTTTTCAGGTGTCCCACTGCGAGCGCTCAACAGCGTGCTGACAGGGTGCCCCAGGAACGTTCCACTAGGTCTGCATGGGGTGGCAGGTGCTGGGCGAGGGACCTCGCACCTCGGTGGACTGAGGGTGTCATGAGCAGCGCTTACAGAGGGTGAATGTCTCTTTTCGGTAAATTTCCATTTTATTACCCACACTTCAAGAGAGAAATTCATTACAATTTGCGATACATGACCTTGAAACACAATATCCATTAGCGTCATACAAAAACGCTCAAAGAATCATTTTTAAAATTCATACAGTTGCAGAGTTCTTTCTTTTTTAGTGAAAGCGGATATTTTCTAAGTTTCTATTGACATGTTCAGCATCGCACTTCTAATGCTCGTGTACACTGTACAGCTGCTAAAATAAACAGTAATATTTTTTTTAATTCGGTGAGAAAACATCTGTCTGTGTCTCACTTGTACGTTCCTTACATGAAATCGAGACGAAATTAAAGTACATTTATTTAATGAACTTGAACCTGATGTGCTCCTAACTTCACAGAAGCCCCCCCCCCCCCACACACACACACACAGACACAAACACACACGCACAACACAAATAAAACACCACCAAATTAACTGTGGGACCCTTTCGGGGTTGAGCCTTGAGGGCTTTGTTAATCTATTTTGGTATAATTCAAACAAAATTAATGATAA